TTTATATAATAATGGATTAGTGATGATGAACTCCTTTAGATTTACCTTGTCCAGGAAGCACTTTATCTGCCCTTTGATTCTAAATAATAGCTTTGCTGGGTAGAGCAATCTAGGTTGCAGGTCCTTGCTTTTCATCACTTTGAATAATTCTTGCCAGTCTTTTCTAGCCTGCAAAGTATCTTTTTAAAAAAAAAATAAGCTGACAGTCTTATGAAAACTCCTTTATATGTAACTATCTGCTTTTCTCTTGCTGCTTTTAAGATTCTCTCTTAATCTTTAACCTCTGTCATTTTAATTATGATGTGTCTTGGGGTGGTCCTCTTTGGGCCCATCTTGTTTGGGATGCTCTGTGCTTCCTGGATGTGTATGTGTGCATCTTTCACCAAATTAGGGATGTGTTCTTTATTTTTTTTTTTTACATAAATTAACCCATTTATTATTGGCTGGCAATGTTTCAAATTGTGGAGCTTTTACTGGTCTTTCAATTCCTTCAGTCTTCTGATGGCAGACTTTACTGTGACAGCAGAAGTGGTGTTGTAGGTCCAGGCACCACCAGCAACCATTTTCTTGCAGGAGCCACAGTGCCAGATCCCCACCACTCACCTCTTCATCTTGGTTTTGCCACAGAAGGAGCAAGGTATACCTGGTGCGCTGGCTGATCTCAATTTTCTTCACCATTTTCCTGGGAGGCGCCATTAACAGCTGCTGTATTTACCAGTGATTCAGACTTTCTTGGTGCATTTAGCCATTTTGCCGCAAAGGAGGCTGGACCCCAAGAGGAGGTTGTCTTTATTTTTTTCAAATAAGTTTTCAATTTCTTGCTCTTTCTCTTCTCCTTCTGATACCCCTATGATTTGGATGCCAGTATGTTTTAAGTTGTTCCAGGAGCTCCTTAGCCTATCCTTGTTTTTTTGGATTTTTTTTTATTCCTGTTGTTCTGATTCTTCTTTACATTCCAAATCATTGATTTAATTCTCAGCTTCATCTCTTCCTTTGTTGGTTGCCTGCATACTTTTATTTCACTTAGTGTAAACTTCATTTCTGCCTGGGTCTTTTTTATGCTGTTGAAGTACCCAGTGAGTTCCTTGAGCATCCTAATAACCAGTGCTTTGAATTCTGCATCTGACAGATTGATCATCTCCATTTCGTTTAGTTCTTTTTCTGGAGTTTTGCTCTGTTCTTTCATTTGGGCCATATTTCTTTGTCTCATTTTGGCAGCCTTCCTCTGTTTCTGTGTATTAGGTAGAGTTGCTATGACTGTACCTAATGACTCCCTGTGTTAGAAATGTGGCCTATTATAGAAAAGTACACTAATAAGTTGGATGGGGTGGAGCCTTATGTAATCACCAAGGCACAACCAACCGTGCCACTGCTCTGTGGCTCTGTGGCTCTATGTGGGGAAGGGCTCAGGAGGAAACAATGCCACTGCCTGACATCTGGAGTTTTATCTTGGAGGAGGCTGTGTCCCAATACTCACCCTGATGCCACTCATTTCAATTTCTCCCTGTGTGCCACTGGTACTCTTTTGGCTGTTGCCCTGGTGCTGAAGCCCAGAGGGAATGAATCTGCATAAGTTCAGTCTATTGTGGGCCCTTTAAGAAAAAACTCCTTGAGAATTCCTCCATTTCTTTTGCCACCCTAACCCCCACTGGTTTTTACAGCCAGAAATGATGGAGACTTATTTTCCTTGCACTGGAGCCCTGGAATGGGTGGTCTGGTGTGAGGGTGGGATCCCTTACTTCTGAGGTTTCCCTCCCGATTTTTATCTACTACACGTAGGTGTGGGATCCCGTTCCTCGTCTCCGTACCTCTCGTCTCCATGCTTCTCTGTGCCTCTTTGTATCTCCTCGCCTCTCCACGTGTCTCTGTGTCTCCACCCCTCCTACCCATCTGGATGAAGGTGGCTTTAATTCCTTGGTTATCAGACTTCCATACAGCTTGATTTTCTGATGATTTGGGGTTGTTTTGTAACCTAGTTGTAATTTTTGCTGCAGTTGTGCATGGAGACAAACCGTATTTATCTATGCCTCCTTGAGTAGATCTTAGTTTCTAATACCATTCTTCAATAAGTGAAACAAAGATTCCTTGGAAAAATGGCTGACTCTAGGACTGGGACAGGAAATACATGAGATACATGGAGTATCCTCTAATGTCAGAAAGTAAAGAAATGTGCTCCTGCTTCCACATCCTTAACCACACAGTTGTTATAGCTCTTCAAACAGATTTTCAATCCCTCTCCCTACCCTCTTCTCCTTCTGGGACTCCCATTATGTGAATGTTGGTACACCTGACATTGTACCAGAGTTCCCTAAAAACTACCCTCATTTAAAAATTTTTTTCTTTTTGATGTTCCAATTAGAGATTTTTCTATTACTCTGTCTTCCATACCACTGATTCAGTTCTCTGCTTCATCTAATCTGTTGTTCGTTTCCACTAGTGTATTCATTTCAGTTACTGTATCTTCAATTCTGATTAGTTCCTATGTTTTCTATCTCATTTTACCTGTTTTCTCCTTATGTTCTGAGTTCATCTATTCTCCCATAGTTCAAGGAGCATTCTCATAAACAGTGTTTTGAACTCTATCTGGTAGATTGTTTATCTCCATTTCACTTATTTTTTTTTTTTTCTGGAGTTTTCTTATTTGGGACATGTTTTTTCGTCTCTTCATCTTGGGCGATTCCATGTTTGTTTCTATGTAGTAGGTAGATCTGCTATATATCCCAGTCTTGACAGAAAGGCCTTATGTAGGTGTTCTGTAGGGCTCAGTGGCAGTCAGTCTTTCTGGTGTTCTAGGGCTGTCCTCTGTGTAGGTTGTGTTGGGCCTCAGTTGCTGCTGGTAAATCAGTGGGTGGAGCTGAGTCTTCAGCTGATTGGCTGTGAGGGCTGGCTATAACTACATTGGACCAGCTGTAGTTATGTGGGGGCCGTCCACATGACATAGACTCTGATGCCAGCTGAGGCTGCCTTTCAGGTGTGTCAGTTATAGAACTGGTATCATCTAGAGTCTCTTGGGAGGGGCCCCAGTGGAGGCCAAAGTCAGCTACCATTTGTGCCAGGCTTGGAGGTACTTGGGAGAGGCTACGCTGAGAACCAAGACTAGGTGCCACTTGTGCTAGGGCTTGTAGGTGCTTAATTGGAGATATGTTACAGGCCAAGACTGGCCACTGCTTATGCCAGGCTTGGGGCCAACTGTTGGGAGTTACAGTGCAAGCTGAGACTGGTCACCATTTGTGCTGGGCTTGGGGTCACTTGTCAGAAGCTATAGTGCACACTGAGGTCTGTCACTGCTTGTCTAGGGTTCAGGGGCAGCTGCCACTTATGTGGGATTTGTAGACATTTGAGAAAATCTGCAGCGCAAAACTAGAGCACTCCTGTGAGGTTTGCAGATTTGGGGGCAAGTCCACAGCACAAGCTGAGGCGAGCTGATTTTGTGGAGTAGCCACTGGAAGACACTTGGGCCAGGCACGCAGATTGGATAAAACAAGGTCTCAGGAAATTACCAGTGAGGGGTGAATGGTATTAGTCAAGTTAATGGAAAGCACAGATTTGGTGCCCACCTTAGCTGGGCCAGCTAAGTGGGAGAGCTCAACAGTGGTGTCTGCCAGGACTTATCTTTGGAGAGTGGTGCCCAATCCCTACCCCTTCAGCCTCTGTCCGAAAGTATGTCAATTTAGTTTCTTCCCATATGTCTCAGGCACTTTTCAAGCTGCTGCCGCTGTGCTGGTGCTCACTCAGAGGAAGTTTGTGAGCAAGTGATTCTGTGTGTGGCCCCTTTAAGGGCAGCATCTCATCGCTGGCAGCTCTTTTTCTTGGACAGAATCCCGGATGGTTTTCACAGCCAAATGTTATAGGGACTTCTCTTCATGGCTCTGGTACTCTAGGCTGGGACTCCTAGCGTGAGGGCAGGACCCCTTGTTTCTCAGAGGGGGCTTCTGCAGTAGAGATATCCCTCCTGTTTCTTAATTGTCACACTGTGTGTGGGACCTCCCCAGGCCACATGTCCACCCCTACAATCAGTCTTGATGTGGCTTCTTTATATCCTTTGTCATAGGACTTCTGTATAGCTAGTCTTCATATGGTTTTCAGTGGTGATACTTCTATAATTTAGTTGTAATTTTGGTCAGGAGGAGGTGATTTCAGAGGTTACCTACTCTGCCATCTTGACCAGAAGTCTATTTCTTAATGATTTTTTGATTTATTGGTTTTACAATTCTAGGCTGCTTGGTGCAGCTGAAAGGCTATTTCATTTTATCCCTATAAATTAATTTTAGAAACTTTATTCTCAAATAATCTCCTATTTTCAAACCTGCTATAGTTGATTTGCTACCTCTTAATATAAAGAGCAGACAAGAAAGATGTTCCTGATGCTGCTCCTCCTGGCAGTCCAGAGGCAGAAACTCATGGGCAGGACTCAGGGCTTGAAAGTTTGGAGCTAGTCAACCAGATCCTATGTCCCCATTTCAACACTTCAGAATGCGTTCGGAGAGGCAGGGCACATACCAGGAATAACAAGTGTCACAGTGACAGGAGAGGTAGGTGCTTCATACACACAATCGCTGGTCATACTGTTAGCTCTGTCCATACAGTGTACCATTTCTGTCTCGTTATTCCACTTTTATTTGCTCATGACAGGCTGCTTACCTCTCAGAGATACAGTATTTGGCATGACTAAATTCAACTAATATTGTTTTCAAAGCCAACACCCATACACTGTCTGCCTGACAGGCCCAAACCAATGAAACTCCGTCCAATCTCACCATTTCCCCTGTGATAAGCATGCAAGCATGTGGACTGAGGCAGGGTCTGGTGATGGCATATCTCTGAGGGTCTGGGATCTTAGCAGTTGCTACTTCCAGCCCCAGGAAGTCTGGGCATAGTAAACGTCTCCCTGGTCAATCCCCTTCCATTCAAATGCCAAGAGGTACAATTCAGGACAAAGGAAGAACTAGGTAAGAAAAAGACCAAGGATAAACCAAATGACCAGATAACCAGTCTCCAGAGAAATTAAATAATCACTCTTTATTAAAAATAAATAAGCCCTCTTACAGGAAAATAGGAAAGTAAGTTGCTTGACTCCTGGCTTCTGAGATAGAAACCACATTCAGAATATATTCATTTACAAAAAAAGATATGTAGATTATCAAAACTGAAATTTAAGAACTTCAATATACATTGTTTCTATGAAAAATAAAGACTAAAAGCAATAATTCATGTCAAAGGCCACAGGTTAGAAAACTGATTTTCCTTTTGAGGCTCATTTTAGCAAACCCTCCAATCTTCCTGCTGAAAGGCCATGTCCTGAGGAGGGCCCTCCCTCCCTCCCGCTCTAATGCTGGCTCCCTACAGGGCTGAGTCACCATAACTAAGAGGACACCAGGACATCAGCCACATTACTCCCACTGTCCACAAACTAACTTCGCTCAGCTCTTCTGCAATGGACATGATGTTTCCTCAGGAGCAGAAGACTCAGAATACCACATTTTCCAGTGTTTTCCAGATTCACAGTGTGCTCAGAGGGCTTTTAGGAAAGGTTCAGTCAGCATGCCTGGGTGCTTATTCATGGGGCTTGCACTCTGAATGTCACAAAGGCTGCTTCCTGTGCCTTCCATGCTGCTACTGCCCCAATTAAACACATTATAAATACATTACATCAACGAAGAACTAAGAAGGAACACAAAGTTGTTTAAAACTCCTTATCCCAAATACACAAACACAAAAGAACGCTTCTTATAAATTCAGATTCATCATCTGAGAGGTTGAAGACTCCAGAGATTCTTCTAACTCCAGGGCACACTGACTATAGGCTTCCAGATGTTTTCTCCAGACTTCAACTGTAAATGAGAAAGCAGCACAACTATGAATAGGCAGAAGCAGTCAGCACAGTCTTTAGTGGAAAGTGTACTGTTCAGAGGCTCAGTCCCCTGGGTGGGGTATGGCATGAGTTCAACCCACCATCTCCAATGCACCCCTGAACCTCCGTTGTGAGCATTATCAATCACACCTCAGCATTCAGTGACCTTATCGATCTTGTGCCAAGGATATAGCTGTCCTTGCAGTCACTCTCTCTGGAGGCCATCTGACCACCGGTCTGAGAACACCTCTCAGACAATGGACAGGACTGACTGGGCCTTCCGAATCCAGGGCTATTGCAGAGTGGCTGTGCTGCTCTCCCAGGCACCTGGACTCTTTAATCAAAGTCTACAAAGACTTGAAGGACACTTTGCCCAGACTCAGACCCTCCCCAGCACTCACTGTAGTATGGCTCTTCTGTCTTGGGAGAAGCCAGGGGACTATCTTCTGCTGAGCAGCTGGTGCCCTGCACAGGTAGGCTGGTTGGGGCCTGCAACCCAGGCTCTTCTGCCAGCTCCCTATGTACATTCTCCAGCATGGTCTTATATGCCTCCCGCGCAGCCATCGTCAGCTCAACCATCTTGTGGAATTGGTCCTTGGACAGAAGTGAGTGCACAGGTGATGTCCCCTGGCCACAGAAAACAGGGCTCTCCTGCAAACCACAATGGCACCCTACACAGAGAAGGCTGACAACTGCCTAAGTTGCCGCCCTAAGAGAACAGGGCACCTACGGCACTTCTGTGGCAGCAGTAATCCCAGAGCTAAACTTGGAATCATCCTTCCTTCCATGCTATTATGGAAACAAAGTCCACTGAGGCTGAGTGGCTCTGCTGGGCTGTCTGTGGACCACACCATCTCTATTGCCTCCCTCCCATATGCAGTGCTGACAAACTGGAGCCTCTTCCCCACTCACCTGGGCCCCATCATAGCTGAAGATCCCCACCACGCTGACAGGAACAGCTTTGTTCAAACTGCGCCCCAGAGCTTTGCGGTTGAGAGCAAACACAAAGGGAATGTTCTGTTCACAGGCATAATTGATAATGGTGTGCAGGGTGTCATCCAACCCACCTGTCCAAGGACAAGGAAACATGGTAGGAATACTGGTTGAAAGGGCTTTTGCTACAAACAACAATACTCTCCAGATACCTTCTTTACTCCAGTCAGTGGCCTGTGCCAGATGTCACCAGGAGAAAACAGGTCACTGCAGTGTAAGTACACTATTCCTCTCAGCCATGTGGAAGAATTCACACAAAAAACCATTCCTTAGTGTAATAAAACATGTCTACATTGAGTCACCAGCTGGCATTACACCTAAAAAAGTCTTAGGAATATTTACTAAACACTCACTAAATGTCAGGTCACTGTTCTAACTTTCTCATGTATCTTCACAAATACGTGAGAAATTCCTGTATCTTCATAAAACACTCCACTTACAGATGGGAATCTGCAGCAGAGAGATCACTGGGCACCTACCCCACATGACCAGCGCCTTCAACATGACCACACATGGGCTTACAAGTCCACCATCCACCCCTGCCTTCCAGAGAGGCACCAGCCAGAGCTGGTGTATAGGAGAGCAAGGACAGGCAGAGTGAGTTTAAGAACGGAGGATAAAGGAACTTTGGTGCAGGGATAAGCCTGCCAAGCTAGAAAGCCAGCAGCACCAAAGAATTACCACCAACAAAAGCATTATATATGGAGCCTGTGCACAAATAAGCATAAACCAATGGTCGGCACACATGCAGACAGGTAGAACGCATGATGGAGAAATGACTCCACTCATGAAAGCTACCACAAGATTACAACAGGCAGGAACCAATTATCAGGACACGTGACAGATTTACAGAGCAACTTCAACATGGTATAAAAACAAACAAAAGTCATCTCTGTTCTTGGACAGGATGATCCAAAATCGTAACATATTGATTCTACATCAACCTAAAACTTTGAAACACTATGATGTACTACAAATAGATTTTTAAAAAAATATGGAAAAACACACGAGTAAAAACAGCATTTTGAAAAAGAAATATATCAGGCTAGCGCCGTCAGGCATTAAAAGTGTGCTACAGCCATGACTGGTGTAGCTCAGTGGGCTGGCGTCATTCTACAAACTGAAAAATCGCTGGTTCGATTCCCAGTCAGGGCACATGCTTGGGCAGTGGGCCAGGTCCCATTTGGGGGCATACGAGAGGCAACCAATCAGTATTGCACATTGAAGCTTCTCTCCCTGTCTTGACCTCTCTCTCAAAATATAAATTAAAAAAATATTAAAACAAAAAAACAGGGTGCTATGCTGCTATAAGAACGCAAATAAGAGAATGCAGGGTGACAAGGCAGAGGGCCCAGAAATGACCCGAATATGCAGATCTTGAGCATGTGAGGAAGAGTATTCCAAAGCAGTGGAGAAGGGACAATTGGACCAGCCTCTGCAAAGATCTTAGACTGAAATACATGCTACAAAAACAAACATGAAAACATGGCGATCAGGGGAAAAAAATGAGAATTAAGGAAACTTTACTCCCCTGGGAAGAGGAAAGACAGGGACTGACATAAAACCTGGATATGGTAAAAAAAACGTAGGGAAAAAATACCGATACATACATCTCCCTGCACGGTCAAAAAAAAACAAGGTGAAAACAGGCTACTGAAAAAACAGAAAAACATTTATCACTCTTAACAAAAAGGGTTAACTTCCTTGTTTTAAAAAAATGTAATATCTATGTCAAAAGTCAGCATCCCAAAAGACAAATGGGCAAAGAATATGAACCAACAGCAAAAAATATCATGCCCTTGAAACCAGTGAAAAGATGCTCAACCTCCCTCTCAAGTCAGGGGGGCAAGGAGGGGGTGTACTCAGCCTATGGGGGCCGTGGTGTCTCTGGAGGTGTCAGGCACAGGATTGTTATACATGCACATGGCCTTCCATTCTCGATATGGAACCTACAGAGATGTTCACACAAATAAACAATAGTGTTTAAGTCACTGACAGGTGTGAAGTCTGAAAACAACAGATGTGCCCATTGTATGGGACTGTGCAGTCTTTCAAGAGCAACACAATCTGTATGCACCAGTGTAACAAAAGGATCTTGAGACACTGAAGCTATAAAACAAAGTACACATGGGTCCAGGAGGCCAGATCACACACACACAAGTGTTCATAAATACACATAGACTATTAATAATACATAAAAATCTGGCAACAGTGGCTGCCTCTGAGCAGCTAGAGGAATATGAGGGATTCACCCCTCAAAAGAAAGTAATAAAACAATGTATCCCACCCCTCACATAGTGAGCTGTTTTAACCTAGCATCGAGAAGGACCACAGCATGTGTCACATGCCCCTTCCCTCCGCATGCAGACCTCTCCTGTACGGACATACAGCACCTGTATGAAATGAAAAGATTCCCCAATACCTCTGACCCTCTGGGAACTACATACATGGTTAATGAATTTCCTTTCAAGAGAGGAACTTCCCTAGTGTACATCCCCCAACTCTGTGCAAACTGGAAACTCGATTCTGCAGCTGGTGTATCTGGGCACTAATTTTTAAGCCCCACATCCTTTAATCTGTCCACCCTACTGCAGATCTACCAGAAGAACATGGAGAGACAACCCCTGGGGATAGAAATGCCAAAGAGAAACACCAGGCAGGCTGGGGAAAGGGGAGTCAGGCAGATAGGGTGAAAGATATAATTGTAAGTTATCAACAGAGACTGCCTGAGTCCTCTAAACTGTAGCTGAGTCCTCTAAAAGTAGCTGAGTCTTCTTTCCTTCCAGGGTCTCTCTGCCTCATGTCCAGTTCATCCCTGAATGCAAGTTCAGCAGTGGGCAGAAAAGATCAACCCAGCCAACTAACTGCTGCTTTCCCTATACAGACCTACTTGTGCAGTTGGACCTTGGCTGGCAACAAAAGCAAACTAAAAGGACAGCTAGATCAGGAGTGGAAACATAGAAATGAAGATCTCAAGGAGGGTTAGCAACAGGGGAGTGGGAGGAGGAGATGGGGGGAGAAGGTACAGAAAATAAGTAGCATAGACAGCAGATAAAAAATAGATGGGGGGGGCAAGAATAGTATGGGAAATATAGAATCTAAAGGACTTGAGACACTGGTCATAAACTAAAGGGGGGTAATGGTGGGGATGGGGGGTAGGGTGGAGGGGAATGAAAGGGGGAATAGAACAACTGTAACAGCATAATCAATAAAAAAATTTAAAAAAAAAAAGTTGGATTTAGAGAGGGCTCCCTATCTGGTCAGAATGGCTACTGTGCCTGTGCTGCTTATGGGAACACAGGTTTATGCTGAGACCAACTTCCTTCTGAAATTCTGGGGGTTGGTATGTGTTGGGCAGAGGGTGTCCACATGACCACAATGTGTTTTAAATGCATAATAAATCCTCAAGATGCCCATCAGTAAAATCTTAGCTTGGTTCTCTGGCACAGAGAAGAGGACTGTTGACTAAATATAAACATACCCATTTTTTTGTTGTTGTTTTCTTAAAGATGTAAATGCACAAAAGAATGTGAGGTCATTCTTCAACCCCAGCTGTCCCATTACGACAGGGGAAGACTGGACCCTGCCCCAAGCTAAGTTGGGCGAGACTGCTAGGCTGGTAACAGAGTAGGTCTCGCTATTGTTCTTGGGCCCCTGGGGGCTGCAGACAAGTAAGGAAACCTCAAGTCTTCAGATGTGACATAGCAACTAAAAAGCTCACTTGCAAAGGCAATTCCACTGACTCAAGTTTTCATGGCTGGACAAAGGAGTGCAATGGGGAAAGCAGTGTGAATGTCCAGGCACATATATGGAGGGCCAATGTCTACAGTGATGTTCTGCTCCTGACTACCAGTCCCCCAACTGCAAAGCCTGAGGAGGACATATAAAAGACAAGCCAAAGGCCACTAGAGAGAGGTAACATACAGAAGTTCACTGTCAATCACCTCACCAACATTTCGTATCCCACAAAATGAATCCAAACCTATGGCATTAGTAAGACGGCCAAGTGCTTGGACAAACCCACATCTTTAATGAGGGAGCAGGCATAGGAGTTCATCATAGACAGAACCAGAAAATTTTAAATAGGACAGAAGGCCCTGGGCAGTGAGGCTCAGTGGATTGGGCATCATCCTGCAAATCAAAAGGTCACCAGTTCAGTTCAAGATCAGGGCACATGTCTGGGTTGCCGGGCAGGTCCTGGGTTAGGAGTACATGAGAGGCAACCAATCAATGTTTCTCTCCCTTTCTTTCTTCCTCCCTTCCCCTCTCTCTAAAAATAAGTAAATAAAATCTTAAAAAACATAAAATAAGGACTTTTGGCCAAGATGGAGGTGTAGGTACATACACTGTGCCTCCTTGTACAACCAAAAGAGGGACAATAACAAATTTAAAAACAAAACACAACCAGAACTGACAGAAAATCGAACTGTACGCAAGCCTGACAACCAAGGAGTTCAAGAAGAAACATTTATCCAGACCGGTAGGAGGGGCAGAGACAGGCAGCCAGGGCGGAGAGGACTCGTGGCAAGGTGGCAGCTGGAGGACCAGGAAGGGCAAAGTGGCAGCTACCAGACTAGAAGTGGTGGCTGGTGGAATGGGCAGTCCCACATTTGTATGTGGAAAAACCGGACGGAACAACTGGGGAGCAAGACAGACCACACAACCCAGGGTTCTAGTGTGGGGAAATAAAGCCTCAAAACCTCTGACTAAAAAAACATGTGGTGGTTGAAGCAGCAGGAGGAACTCTAGACTCACAGGGAAGTTTACTGGCGAGACCCACAGGGTCCTAGAATGTACACAAATCCACCTGGGAATTAGCACCAAAAGGGCCCAATTTGTGGGTATCAGAGGAAGTGACTGAAAGCCAGTTGATAGCTGAGCAAGCAGCATTGGTGCCCTCTCTGACCACTCCCCCACATACAGAGCCACAACGCAGCAACCTGGGTTTCCCACCCTGGCAAGTATCCAAGGCTCCACCTCTTACCACATAACAGGTGTGCTGAGACAAAAAAAATATGGCTGATAAGAAAGAACAGATCTAAGCCCCAGAAAAAATATAACTAAGCAATGAAGAGATAGCCAACCTATCAGATACACAGTTCAAAACACTGATTGTCAGGATGCTCACAAAAATAGTTGAGTATGGTTGCAAAATAGAGGAAAAAGTAAAGGCTATGAAAAGTGAAATAAAGAAAAATGTACGGGGAACCAACAATGGTGGGAAGGAAACTGGGACTCAATGAACAGTTTGGACCAGATGGAAGAAATAAGCATTCAATCAGGACAAACTAAAGAAACAAAAATACAAAAAAATGAGGAGAGGTTGAGGAACCTCTGGGGCAACTTTAAATGTTCCAACATCTGAATTATAAGGGTGACAGAAGGAGAAGAGGAAAAGCAAAAAATTAAAAACTTATTTGAAAACATAACTTCCCTAATCTAGCAAAGGGAATAGACTTCTAGGAAGTCCAGGAAGCTCAGAGATTCTCAAAGAAGTTGGATCCAAAAAAGCACACACCATGCACATTTTACATCACCCAAGATTAAAGATAAGGACAGAATCTTAAAAGCAGCAAGAGAAAAGGAGACAGTTACCTACAGAGGAGTTCCCATAAGACTATCAGCTCATTTTCAAAAGAAACCTTACAGGCAAGAAGGGGCTAGAAAGAAGTATTCCAAGTCATGAAAGGCAAGGACCTACATCCAAGATTATTTATCCAGCAAAGCTCTCATTTAGAATGGAAGGGTAGATACGGTGCTTCCCAGATAAAGTCAAGTTAAAGGAGTTCATCATCACCAAGCCCTTATTATATGAAATGTTTTTAAAAGAGACTTATCTAAGGAAAAGAGAAAGATCAAAAATATGAACAGTAAAATGACAACAAATACAATTAACAACCAACCCTATAAAAAACAAAAACAAACTAAGCAAACAACTAGAACAGGAACAGAATCATAGAAATGGAGATCACAGGGAGGGTTATCCGAGGAGAAAGGGAGGGAGAAATGGTGGAAAAAGTACAGGAATAAGTAGCATAAATGGTAGGTACAAAATACACAAGGGGAGGTTATGAATAATATGGGAAAGATAGAAGCCAAAGAGCTTACATGTACCACCCATGGACATAAACTAAGGGCAGGGGAAATTAAGGTGGGAGCGGGGAGTGCAGGGTGGACGGGAATAAAGGGGGAAAATGGGACAACTGTAACAGCATAATCAATAAAATATATTTAAAAAAAATAAAAACAACATGAAATGGACAGAAGCCCACTGCCTGGCTGCCTGTCACAAAACCTCTGTGGTATAAGTGACACTGACCATCCTCTGCTCCAGTGTAAACCAGTGCCATGCCCAGCAAGCAGCATAATGGAACACATATTTTCTTGCTGCCAGAGGTCTGCAGGGGCCGGCTAGAACTATGCCATGAAGACTATAGGGGTTTGGCTGCCTCACAGAGTAAGGCATGTGGTGGGCACATAAACACCAGAAGCAAATTACTCAATTAAAAGAAAACACTGTCCATGCCTCACTGCTGACTGAGGCATGGTAAGCAATGTACCAAGGACAAGAAGGCACCATTACCTTTTGACTGTATTTTCTCACAGTTGGGAGAGATGATGACGCACTTCAGCTTTCTGAGCTTCAGGTGTTTGAGCACCTCCCTCAGCCCCAGCACTAGCCGGCGTTTGGTCTTGGCCTTGACAGGATCTTTCTGGTACATACGGTCTTGGAAACGGACCAGCTCTTTGAGCAGATCCGTAACACAGGCATCCACCTCTTTACTGAGCACCTGGCTGCAATAACTAAAAGAAAGGTTAGATGCCATCAGCTTTCTACTGGCTGTGACACTGCAGGTTGCTCCCATCCCACCTCAAGAGAAACGTGGATGACACAGCCCCACTCAGGAAATCACACTTTGATGAGCAATACTAATCAAAAGTGGGGGTCCTGACTCAATTCAATAACAGGTAAGGATCAAAGCACCCTCCTACACTGGCACCATCAAGGGATGGAAGCTCTACACCCTGTCTATTACCATGACTTGCCAAATGTTCTCCTACTGTGGCCATTCCCTGTGTACCTCCCCTCCTGAAAACACCTGGAGAGTCTGCCCTGGAACAAAAGTGTGGTGGGAGGAAGAGCTCCCTAAGAAATTATATGGAGAAATTAAACCATGAAAGGGAACCCAAATGTCACGTGCTATCACTCACCAGCCATTCCCAACAGGAAACCTGAATTTACGGGCACCTATGCCATTGCATCAGTAGGATGATAGACCCTGCCAAGTCGTATGACTAAGTACCTGGCCACTTTGACCGGAAGCATAAAAACATGGGCCCAGCTCTTAGCTTTCCAGTCTGAACACATCAGGGTGAGACAACTGTCACACCCAAGGCCAGAGTGAGCATAGCACCCCCTCCCAACCCCTAAGGGCTCACTCACTCCCTGAATCTCCGGCTGTGGATCTTGGGGCAGCTGGCACCTTCAGGGACCAAGTAGCAGGTTTCCACTTCCTTATGGATCTCAGTTTCCAGTGGCTCTTCTGAGCTGCTCTCTATTGCAGGAGTGGAGCACACTGACACTTCTGTTTTCCCTGGAGCTTCACAGGAAAAAAAGTCATGGCCCACAGTGTCCTGCACAGCACAGTCACCAGAGCAGCCAGATGCAACCCACACCCACCTCATTCAAACACAGCTGCTGAGCACCACAGATGGCAGCAGAGTGATGGGAATGACTTTGGAAAAAAAGAACCTGGCAGCTTTCTGTTCTGCCTGGAAGTGCCTTCCTAAATTTACCCAGTGTAGTTATTTAATTTTATTGTGGCAAAATATTTATAAAACTTTCCATTCTAACCATTTTAAGTATGTGGTCCAGTGGCCAAATTTGTATTTTAATTTTCTAATTTAATCTGAAATACCTATCAGGAAGTGTTCAAAACAGGTTGTGTTCTGAATTTTTTGCACTTATGTGCTTGACACTATTCTTTTATCAAGTAATTCTTAAATAAGAGCTAAACCATAATATCTAATTTATAAGAGCCCCCTCAAGGGGTGTGTTTAAACACATCAGACAGGATTCAGTAATTGCTACGGTCCCCAAATGTTCCTTCTGGAGATTTTTAGAGTGCAAGTGAGGTATTAGCTCACCAGAGAAGGAATTCAGGAGCACACACACCAGCCAGGATGGCAGACACAATAAAGACAATGTCTTTCAAGATGACCTCTCCCCACTGTGGCTGGAACTGGTAACAGACCTGAAAGCCACTGGCTGGAGCCGCCGAGGCTGGACGACATGGACCGAAGCTTGCAATCCACATAGGGAAATGCCAGTAGGAAGGAGTGCTCACACCCTCCACACATCACACTGCCAGTGATTCTGCATCTAATGGCACCATGGCACGTTTGTACAGCTGGACTCTGTGCAGCAAAGACAACTGGGAATTGCCCTTATGGGCCACAGACATACTGCTGGCCAGAGGGGCACCCACTGCAAGATGCCCTGGGAAAGAAGCCCAAAGGCCCATCAGTGCAGCTGTGCTTGAGGCCAGGCCTTGGGCTGGAATACCAGGAACAGTAGGGCTGCTCTGTTCCTCAAGTTAGTGCTGTGTTCACTTTGTAAAGTCTTCAAGCTATATCCTCAGGGTCTGTGCACTTTTCTAAGTGTGTCATTCAACAAAAAGCTTACTAAACACGTTCTTCTTAAGATATTGTACTTGTACTCAAGGGAAGCAGCTTTGAAGTTAGTGGGGTAAATTCGCAAAGCTGCTTCAAGTTGCAAGGACCATCTAATGCCATACAGATGAAACTCAGGGGCCTCATCCCCTGTCCCTCACAAGCCCACTGTCCATGGGAACACCTTCCTACTGTCAGGTTTGGAGTCTGAAAATGTCTGCATCCTCAGGGTTCAATGCTGCCTTGCTTTTACCACAAAGCGGCCAGAGGCTGGCAGAATTCTGGGTGGTTTGCTGCACACAGTTGCCCCACTGAAGGATTCTTTAAGACACAACCAAAAGAACTGGGTAACTAAGGGCTCACCCTGTTCGAGAGCCAGGTCATCACCACCACTCTCTACATCTTGCATATCATCAACTGCTGGGCTCACAGCATTTTCTTGGAGACGCTGCTGCTTTCTCTCCTCCCGTTCTTTCAAAATAATCTTTAAAATTGAACAAATAATTAAAGTACCTAAATACCTGTACTTACAAATAAGGTCCTCTGCAAAATAAACCACTCAAGGTTGGCTTACTGGCAGTGTGCCCATCTCTGCCTTCACAGTGGCAACATGACCCCCCCACCCCATCCTGGGGGGTTGGCCCAGGAGCAGCATACCCCTTACTCAGGTGCACCGACAGGACGCATGCAACCTGGGTTCTGATGCAATAGTACAGCTTGACAGTCACCTGATCCCAGACTAGACACTTGTTTCCCATCTGAGACCGATGACACACCACAGACTGAGAATCAAATAAAAGAATGCGTGCAACAGCCCTGATAGCGTATCTACTCGGAAGTGTCCAACAGTCATTGAATCTAAACAGTAGGCAGATCCCTCAAGTAGGATGAGGGTATCAAGTGAATAAGGAGAATGTAACTCCTTCCATTTCTCGTTTTCTGTCCATGTCACTGCAAAGTATTTTTAAAAACGGATCCCTTCCCAAGCTAGTAGCTGAGGCCACCCCACTCTGTCACTAAGCGAGTGAGGGATCATTTCTAAGAGAATCACCAACACATCCTCTAGGAAATGAAAACCTAAAACCTGAGCTGACAGAAGTAATTCTTTAGGTTTTCTAGTGCCCAGTTTGAAATACAGCACTACTCACCTTCTTCAATGAGGTAGGCTTCTTGGCCTTGGGGACCTCCCGCTGCTTCCCCTTCTTCATCAGGGGAGCACTGGAGTCCAAGGGGTTGTGTGGGGTATTTGCCTGGCTAAAGCGGTGACCCTTCTTCCCTGATGTGGCCTCTTTAGAGAGAATGGGAACTGCCCCCACTGCAACACAGTGAAGACATGTGCCTCAGGGAGGGCTCCCTGCAGCAATCGGGGGCTACCCATGCCATCCCACCCATCCCCACAACCCTACTCACCCTCATCAAACTGTCCCTGAGACATTCTTCTAAATGGCAATGATTGTCATGTAACTGAAGTGTTTTTTGGTAGGAATCCAAAAAAAAATCATCGACTAATTCATCAGGAAAAACCATCTTCCTATCTATCCCTATAATGAAGCCTGCTGTTTCTCAGTAAAGTCTACTAATGTGTGAACTCATTTTTTGACTGAGGACATTTCTGGTAGTTTGGATTTACAATGATCCTTTTGAGTAAGTCTCTCTCCATCACTTTCAGTTGATTCCACCTTTGCAGAAGTCAGCTCCTGGTTACCACAGGCATAACTTTTCTTTTGTAAGTCCCCTATAAGTGTCTTACAACATTTCTAGTTGATTCTTTTGCATTTTTTCACAAATAAACCTATTTTCCCAAATCCCCTCATGTGCCATAGGTAAAAATCCCTCCAATTTGATTATAATCACTGCTCAATACTTCCACTGCATTCTCTGGCTCTGCTCTACTTCCTACACCTTACCCTTCCTCTCAGGAAACAGTTCATTTGTGTATACTTCCTCCCTACTTTTTCATTAGAAAATTTCCAACATACACCAAAGAAAATAATGTAATAGCAAAAACTATGTATCCACTGTCCAGCTTCAACAACCATCAATATTTTTCTAAATGTATTTACCCAAACTCCTTAAGTGTGGAATTTAGGTTATTAGTGTACTGTTAATCAGGTGCATCCATTAACTCTCTCCTGTGTGACTCCCTGCTACAGTGCAGAATGTGTCCACTATGTCCCTGCTCTGTGCCATTTCTAGCCTTGGCTCTTACCATTATGTTTAGAATGTACATGTAACTGGCTTGGTTCTCGTCAGCTGTTCTTGAAAAACAACAATATAACAACCCTGCCTACATCTGCTTCCTCTCCCCATCTTCAATGCCAACTGTGAGTTCAGGACCTCAACAAGGCTCCTGCAATATCTACCACCTAAGCCCACCAGCCCTGGTCATTCCTGTCTGCACCCCTGCACCCCACTGCCCTGTGACTCTCCATAGTGCTAACAGCAGGCCGGGGAAGGGAGTTCTCCAGAGGAAAAATCCCAATAAAGGCTCTGGACTAAACCTCCCCCTCCATCTTGCCCTCTGCCTCCTGCCCACCCTGGTACTTCCCCACATGGCCCTGCATGCCATGCCTCCTGTCTCTAGGACCTGACAGCATAATAAACTTTGTTTTTTTTCTTGAGTTTCTCCTATGTCTCCTCTTATAGCCACACCTGACTGACCATATATCAAAAAAAAAAAAAAAAAACCAAGGTCCTGGCAGAGTTGCTGAGTCAGCTGGAGAACTGTCCCATGCACCAAAATGTCGTGGGTTCCATCCCCAGTCAGTTGGGGCATGTACTGTAGGCAACTGACAGATGTTTCTCTCTCATTTCAATGTCTCCCCACCACCACCCAAAAAACCCCAATAAACACATCCTTGGGTGAAGATTAAAAAAAAACAACAGAAACAAAAAACTTAATAAGCCCAAAGCTAATTGTCAAGGAAAAGCTGACCTGCCCATGGGAACAGGAATAAGGTGAATATAGGAGAGCGAACCACAGAATGCAATGGAAGTACCAAGGAGTGATCATAATCACATTGACTGGAGGAAGCGTCACCTACTGCACATGAGGGGAACTGGAAAATATACTTATGTGTGAAAAATGCCAGAGAATCAACTACAAAAGTACTAGTCTCTTTTAGAAGATATGCAATATGGTAACCAACAGCTGACTTCTGCAAAGGTTGTGTCAACAAAGTGGTGGCAAGAGACTTTTCAAAAGGGTCATCGTAAATACAAACTACCAGAAATGTCCTCAAACAATGAGATCACACATTATAGTCTTTACTGAGAAAGAGTAAACTTCGTTATAGGGATAAAAAGATGGTTCAACTTCCACCAAACCACATGGATTGGTTTGAAAACATTAATACACAGTAATAGCACTATAGGCCTTTACAAAACAGAAGATGAGTTGAGAAAAGCAATTTGAAGAAAGACAATCTAGGAGGACAGTGGTCCCAAGCTTTGGTATAAAGTAGTCCCCTGAAAACAGCAGTTTTGCTTCCTGCAGTTTCAGTTACCTGTGATCAACCATAGTGCAAAAAATATTAGATGGAAAATTCCAGAAATAAACAATTTGTAAGTTTTAAATTGTATGCCATTCTGAGCAGCTTGATCAAATCTTGCACTGTCCTGCCTGGGATGTGAATCAATTGCTGGTCTAGCATATCCATACTATACATACTACCCACCCATTAGTCACTTAGTAGCAGTCTCAGATCAGCGATGGCAGTATTGTAGTGTTTGTGCTCAAGCAGTCCTTATTTTACTCAATAGCCCCAAAGCACAAGAGTAATTTAAAATTGTCATCGGTATGCAACATATAGGAAAAAACAGTGTACACAGTGTTTGGTACTGTGGTTTCAGGTATCTACTATAGGGGAGGAATCCTGGAATGTATCCCTCATGGATAAAGGGGGACTACTATGTAAGAATTATGGATATGTATTACATGAAACTGTAGATCCTGATTTGAATAAAATCACCAAAATTGCTTAGACAATGAAGAAAACTCAAATATAGACTGAATAGGATATGCAAACAAGAAATAATCATTAATATTATTAGATGAGAGGATGGTAGGGTGGTTTAGTTAAAAATAAAACTATCAGAGAAGCTAACTGGGGTATTTACAGGTAAAATGACACGTCTAAGAGTTGCTTTAAAATACTTCAGGAGCCCTGGCTGGTATAGCTCAGTGGATTGAGTGCAGGGCTGTGAACCAAAGGATTGCAGTTCAATTCCCAGTCAGGGCACATGCCTGGGATGCAGGCCAGTTCCCAGCAGGGGATGCACGGAGGCAACCATACATTGATATTTCTCTCCCTCTCTTTTTCCCTTCCCCTCTAAAGATAAATAAATAAATTTAAAAAAATACTTCAAGAGAAAAAAGCTTCTTAACCATTTCCTTGATTACTTTTTTCTTTTAAAAATAAATTAATAAACTGCCTCAGAAAGAGGAAGTGCACTTAAAAGACTATGGTGGTAAATGTGCATATTTCTTTCTCTGACATGTTGCAATCATAACTGTCTCGGCTCTATGAGAAGACATTTCAGAGGGGAGAAATAGCGTTATCAGAGGCAAGCCAGCACTGTTACGAGCTGCACCCCATATACAGACAGGTAATTCACTTCTATGAGATTCAGCTTTGGAAACTGTACAGGGCATTTATGTATTGCATTTCCAGGTGAACAGTATCATCATATCTGCTCCTTAAAATCGTATTTTAAAAAGTTTTTTGAAGTGCTGTGGTAAAGAAAATGTAACATACAATCTACTATTTTAACTGTTTTTAAGTGCACAGTGGTGTCAATTATGTTCATAATGTTTTACAACCATCACCACTATCCATTTCCAAAACCTTTTCATTCCCAAACTGAAAATTTGTCATCCTCAAACAATAACTCTCTATTCGCCCTCCCCTCAACCCCTGCTAGCCTCTAGTCTACTACTGTCTATTAATTTGCCTCTTCTAGAAATTTCATGTAGTGGAATCTTACAATGTTTCCTTTTGTGACTGGCTTCACTTAGCATTATGTTTTCAATTTTACCCGTGTTGTAGCATGTGTCAGAATGTCCTTCCCTTTCAAGGTTGAATAATATTCCATGGTGTACATAAATCACATTTTGTTTATCCAATCAGATACACATTTGGGTTGTTTCCACCTTTTGGCTATTATAACTAATACAGCTATGAACACAGGGATATAAGTGTCTGAGTCTCTGTTTTTAATTATTTGGTATAAATGAGAATGGAATTACTCAGTCACATGGCAATTCTGTATTTACCATTCGGAAGAACCACCAGACTGTTTTCCAAAGTAGATGCATCATTTTACATTTCTACCAGCAGTGTACAAGAATTCCAATTTCCCAATGTGTTGCCACCACCAGTCATTTTCGTGCACTTGCTTATAGCTAGCTACCAGTTTAAGTACGAAGAACTACCTCGATGAGGTTTTGACTTGTATTTCTCTAATGGCTAACGAAGATCTTTTTCATGTGCTACTGGCCATTTGTATTTCTTCTTGAGGAGAAATGTCTTTTCTAGTGCTTTTGCTCACTTTCTGAGTTTGTTGTTGAATTATAGTTCTTATATCACAGATATAGATATTAAATCCTTAGCAGATACAACTTTCAAATATTTCCTCCCATTCTGTAACTTGTCTTTGCATGTTCTTGAGATTGTCCTTTGGTACACAAATGTCTTTAATTTTGGTGTCCTATATGAAAACTCACTGTCTAATTCAAGGTCATAAAAATTTACCTCTACCTTCTTCTAAGAGTTTTATGGTTTTAGGTCTAATAATTAGGTCATTGATCCATTCTGAGTCATTTTCGTTTATGGGGTAAAGTAGGTTCCAACTTTATTCTTTAGCATATGGAAGTCCAGTTGTCCTAGAACCAATTTTTAAGAGACTGTTCTTTATTCTTTATTTTTAAAAATTTTTTAAAAGATTTTATTTATTTATCTTTAGAGGGGAAGGGAAGAAGAGAGGGAGAGAAATATCAATGTATGGTTGCCTCTTGTGTGTGTGTCCCCTGCTGGGAACTGGCCTCCAACCCAGGCATGTGCCCTGACTGGGAATCAAACTGTGGTTGTTTGGTTCCCAGGCTCATGCTCAATCCACTGAGCTACACCAGCCAGGTGCTCTTTATTCTTTTAATGAACCCAGCACCCTTGTCAAAAATCCAGCTTAGTAGCAGGATTTTTAAACCTGCTACTAAGCTGGTTTAACTCACTGGTTTAAACATGTGAGTTTATTTCTAGACTATCATTTCTATTCCATTGGTCTATGTCTATCCTTATTCCAGTACCATATCATTTTGATTATAAATAACTTTGGATTACAAAAGAAAAGTCACCAAATAGTCTACCTGAAAAAGACTTTCAATCGTTTAAAATTAAAACCCTCTTTTACCTGAAAACACCACTGCCTTGGAGGCCTGCCTTGGACTCTGGGAGTGCTGCTTCTTCTCCAGTGCTGTCAGCATCCCCCCCAGGTCCAACTGCACTGGAATTTGGCTCTTCTTTCCACCACTTTTAAAATTACTCTAAAAAGTTCAAAAATCAAAAGTTTATAATATTTTACAAACTGTGCTTTTGTTTGATGACAAACAAATCATATAATTAAAGATAAAATAGATTTAGAGTATAAAAATCTTAAAAATTAAAAATTAATATAATTAAAGAGAAAGACCCAATGAATTGTACATTACCTGCCAATATTTCCACCATGGTTGTTTATTTCCTCCCTTTTCTTTCACAACACTGGGTTTACATTAAACCACCTACAATTATGTGTACATCTCCACTAGGAGTAGTAGTGTACATCTACAGACAAGAAACCAACACTTCTATAAAGTCTCTTGGCTAAAAAAGTTTGTTGTATGTGAGGCTAATTGGTCAAGTATTATTGCCTCGTTGGCCCTATTCATTCTCTAATTGTCCAAGTGAATCAAACACATGCCACAAAATCATGGAGAGATGGCCAAAAATTAACCCAAGCCCAAATCATACCCAGCAGTTAAGGGCTAAATTTAGACACAAAGTTTGATATACTATAAACAAACAGTACTTCTGACATAGTTGCAAACTGGGTTTTGAGACAGTGTAAAAGGTTGCACAGGCAGGTTGCCTCATTGCTTAAGCACCTTCTCTCCTGCCTGTTTTCTTCCCTGACACCGAAACCCCACTGGCTGAGGACTGCAGCACAGGTGGGCTATAGAGTATCCAAATTATAACACAGTAACGCAAAGTTAACTCACATAAGGGTTTAGCATTTTACTTCTCACAAGTGTGAAAATAATCACCCTTCTCTGACAGAAAAAACTTACAATGAACATCCGAAAAGTATACAAGTTCCCCATTTAGATAATAACCATAAGCTCATTCCTGAATCCACAGCAGGGCTGAGGTACAAGGACGATCTTCTCTTCAGGTTGTTCTGACTACTTAAGAGTGAAATTTAGGTGGCTCTGTTATTTCCCTCTGTCAGACATTACTGCCTCACAAAGAAATTCTTGTTTCCTGAATAAACTGAATCGACATCTTTTCCTTTAAATCAAAGCTTCATAGGCAGTATGTATTCCGCACCTTTCTAATAATAGCAGTGGTTAGTATCAACAGTCTTATTACAAAAGTGACAAAGTGTTTTAGTTTAAAAGCAATTCTGCTTCAACATACTGAATGCCTCCTGCAATGAAGGAATAAATAAAAATAAAACCACAGTTTTCCATACACGAAGAAGTCTGGAAAGCAGTTTTTCCTCAAGAGTTCAGTTTAGCAGGAAAAGTTAAGCCTAAAGCAATTGTGGTTTCACTCTAAAATTTACCTGTGGCTGCTGTTTCAACTGAAATTTCGGTGCCTCTACTCTGTCTCTTCTTTCAGATGCAACTGCCAGATTGGGAAACTCCTCAGCATCCTAAGTAAACCACACACCCTTTAGCACTTCATAATTCATGAGACTCAAATATGCCCAAGTGAAGTCTTCTCCTTGTTCATATTATCTATGATAAGCTCCCACAGAAGTATTCCAAGGAGATACAAAACAGACCAAAAAATTAAGCTGAAGCTAAGGGCTTCAGTTCCAATCTCCTGCTCCAGAAAGCAAGAGCAGGGGCCCCAAGGAGTAAACAGAGCTGCACCTAATGACCATGGCATGAGAGTGTTCAAGCACCCTTCCTTCCATTAGGCTTTGCATTAGGAAACCCATCAATCCAGACCCAGAGGATGTAAGTGTCCTGTCATGTGTGCTGATCCCAGGCTAAAAAAATAGAAAGAGGGACAAAGGGTCTCTAAACAATGTTTATATCATTTTTAAATGTCTTATACGCTATCAAAATTTCAGGTGCCTTGGAAAAGTTATGTAAGAAATAGGGACAAAAGCATGAACCCTTTACTGGCCCAACCATACTGTTCTGCTATGGTCATAGGTCTGCAAACACAACTCCACTAACTCAAGGAAATGTTCCAGACTCCCAGGTTTGTGAGAAAGCCTTGGCTTAGGCAAGCCGAACATCTGGGCAACACCGCTGACCCTTCTGTGAGCACCAGGAGCCAGGCTGCTGAGTCTAGTACTGCAGACCTGTGAAAAATGTGCTCAGAGCCAAGGACAGGGTCATTCTTGCAGTAGCCAGGACAATTTAAAGAGCACTTTGGCAAATCCATCACAATCTTGTGACCAGGGCCCACAATAGCTCTCTGGTATTCTAAATTTCTCTTTCTAGTGAAGCACATTATAATAAGATTTCTGGATAGAAAAGGAAGCCCTGCAAAAGCCAGCATGCCAAAGCAAAGATTTAAAAATATTTTTTTAAAAAACAGGTAAAGGAGAGACTTAGGGATAAATAGTAATACTACGGTACATAACTATTCCACTTTAATATACACAGTTTTGTCTCTAGATCAGGGGTGTCAAATTCATTTTCACCGGGGACCACATCAGCCTCAAGGTTGCCTTCAAAGGGACAAATGTAATTTCAACTCCTTAAACAGTTAAGGCGTAGTTATATCTATATATTCCTAACATTACTCTGGCCCTTTGAAGGCAACCACGAGGATGATGTGGCCCTTGGTGAAAATGAGTCTGACACCCCTAGGTCTTGATCAAATTCATTCATTCACTCCAACATTTACTGAGTGCCTACTATGAGACAGGTACTGTGCTGGGACCTAAAAATGAAGATGTGACAAAAACAGATAATGGCTATTTTCTTTAGCACTAGGAGAAGGATGATTAAAGAAAATGTTGAAGATTTTCCCTTAGAAAACCAGTATGAACGCACATTTCTATTAAGACAGAACTATATATTACACCACACAAGGGAAGAAATAATATATATACTTCAATCCTTGGTGGCTCTTGAACTGTCAGGACTTCATATTTTGATTTAGACTTTTCTTTCTTTTTCTTATTCTTTCTTGAGGCTTCATTTTGCTCAGGATCACCACCTTGTGTTGCTTTGGACTAGAACAAAACAAAACCGTGGGTTTTGGGGACATTCAAAAGAATGCTTAATTCCATGTATGAGAACAGAATGAAGATATCACATTGTTGCCCTGGCAGGTGTGGCTCGGTGAATTGAGTGCCGGCCTGCAAACCAGTGGGTCTCTGGTTCGATTCCTGGTCAGGGCACATGCCTCTTGTGGGCCAGGTCCCCAATGGAGGGGCACAATGTGTGGGAGGCAACCACACATTGATGTTTCTCTCCTCTCCCTCCCTTCCCCTTTCTCTAAAAATTAACAAATAAAAATTTTAAAAAGATATCAAATTGTATAACTATATGGAGATTTTAGTGAGAGTTTGCCGCCTCATTCTCTATTTTCCAAAGAGCCAGCATTCAGGAAGACAATTTTGAAGAAAAACAAAATTAATGAAAACAGTTGTTACATTCATTATTTTGAAACTGGTAGATGTAGGCATAAGCCAGGTTTCACCCTGAGGAGGCCACGTTAATAATTCTACTAATTCTGACTTAAAGTCTTTTTATAAATCCAGGTGTGCCATTTCAATCGCCAGGACTGAGTGGTTCCTAAACCTGACTGCACATAAGAACCACCTATATAGCCTTCAAATTAGAATGTCTAGGCCCATCCAGACATCTTGAATCTGACTTCACCCCTTCCATTCTTCCCACAGCCCCTGACCTTTCCTCAATCAGGTCCAACACAATGGCCTCAGAGCCTTCACACTTGCACTTACACTCACACTTGGATCAAGACTAGAACTACACTCTCATTTCAGCTCCAGAATCATCCCATCCCTTATGGGCCTCTCCCTCTACATTCTCCTTAGAGCACCAATCACTCCCTGACAGCTTCTGCACCTCTCTGCACAGTGCTAGTCCCTCTGCATCAGAATGTGGCTCGAAGACAGCGCCTTTTTATGTTTGGGGCCCTGCTTTATTCCCCATGGGAACTTACCTCCACAGCTAAAAGCCTTGGTGGCCATTAAAACAAATGTTTACCTATTGACCAGGAAAAGCTGTCCATGGTATTTTGTTAAGTGGTAAGGCAACTTTTAATGTATATAGAATGACCACAGTTTTGTTAAGAAAAAAAAAAACCCTCTGTTTATGTTTTCAGAAGCCTGAGGTGGAGGACATACCAGGTTGTTACACAGGCTTCCCTGGGGAGCAGTGGGCACCAAAGGGGTGTGGGAAAGATAACCTTTCCCATAATTAGATCCTTGTAGCACAATATTTATTACTTCCATAATAAAAATTTATAACACTGAAAGTTTCAAAGGGAAAAGTCATTAAGACCCCTATCATCCCTGCTATGTACAATGTTAAGCAATCTAGGTTTGAAGATTAGAGATCTCCATTTTATCACCTTTTAAAATGATTCTTAGGAAATAAAATATCTATTAATTCGGTGTTAACTGCCTATAAGGAAAACCACTTCATACACAATGGAATTCTATGCAGCAGAAAGGAAGAAGGAGCTCCTACCCTTTGCAACAGCATAGATGGAACTGGAAAGCATTATGCTGAGTGAAATAGGCCAGGTGTTGAAAGACAAATATCATATGATCTCACCTTCAGCAGGAAGCTAAACAACAAAACAAACAAGCAAGCAAAATATAACCAAAGACACTGAAATACAGAATAGGTAGACCATGACCAGAGGGGAAAGGGGAGGAAATTTCAGGGGAAGAAGGGAAAGGATTTATAGGAATTAGTATAAAGGACACATGGACAAAAACTAAGGGGGGTGGAAATGGGAGGGAGGTGGGGAGCACTAGGGGGGTTGGGCTGGGATGGGAGTAAAAGACAGAAAACTGTACTTAAACAATAATTAAATTTTAAAAAATTATATAAAAAAAACAAAACAAAAAAAAACACTTCAGAGAGTGACTTGATTGGCTGCAGCCAGAGCCCTTTGCTGCTGATACTGAGAGGATGGTAGAATCTCAGGGCCCATGGCCTCTGGGTGTACTCAGATGGGGTCTCACTTGCACCTCCTATGTCCTCAAACAAATGCACAAAACTGTGTAGAACAGCATACAGGGCTGTCTTGCTATAACCGTCACCTGCACACATTCCCTTAATCAACCAAGCATAAATGCACGGCTCCCATCTGTGCAGGATGCGACACTCAGGATTCGAAAAGTACCCTCATACCTCAAAAGACTGGAAGCCATTGCACTAAAGAAATACAACCATATTTCAACCTACAAAGAATACAAGGTCTGTCTGGAAAAAGTCCAGCTATTGTTAATGTAATGAGAACAGTTTATACGACAACCATGTAACCTGGCAGCCATGGAGGATGGACTGGAATGCCCATAAGTGAACAATAACAACTTCTCTGTACTAGTCAGTGGGGGCCACAGACGCCATTGAGTGTGTGCACTGTGTGACTGTTGCATTCAAAATTACTGAGTGAGTAGAGCAACAAATCTGCATCAAATTTTGTATCACACTTGACCATTCCCACACAGAAAGTATCCAGATGATTCAGAAAACCTTCTATGGGCAACTGGTGATTGGTGGCTTCATCACAACACACTGCTCATGCATCACATTTTGTACAGAGCTTTTTGGCAAAACAGCAAATCATTCAGATGACTCAACCACCATACAGCCCAGATTTGGCACCCTGCAACTTCTGGCTTTTCCCAAAACTAAAATCACCTTTGACAGAGAAGAGATTTCAGAACATTGATGAGATTCAGGAAAATATAATACGATGGGGCAGCTGATGGTGATTAGAACAACTGTGTGAGGTCCCAAGGTACCTGCTTTGAAGGAGACAGAGGCGTCACTGTCATATATAAAATGTTTCCTGTATCTTGTATCTCTTTCAATAAATCTCTATTTTTCATATTACACAGCTGGATACTTTCTGGACAGACGTCATTATTAGAACACTGAAAATCAAGAACAAAATCTAGACCAATGAAAAAGGTTCTTCAAGATACAAGTCTAGAGCCCTGGCTGGTGTAGCTCAGTGGATTGAGCACAGGCCTGTGAAGCAAAGGGTCACTGGTTCGATTCCCAGTTAGGGCGCATGCCTAGGTTGCAGGCCAGTTCCCAGAAGGGGACCCACGAGAGGCAACCATACATTAATATTTCTTTCCTTGTCTCCTTCCCTTCCCCTCTAAAGATAAATAAAATTTTTTTAAAAAGATACAAGTCTAGGGATCAATAAAAATGACAGTTTAAAATGACAGCTTAATCGCTTCTCGGCCTTTTGGCTAAGATCAAGTGTAAAATGATAGCTTAAAATGATCTGAACTGAAAGGAAAAACTAAATTCTGAAATTGTATCTTATAGTATGTAAGCTGCAATTAATCAAGAATCGGTAGCATCAATCGTATGAATGCAAAAATTTGGAATTGAATTATTGTGCAATTAGTGCCCAGTCAGTAAAAGTAATTTAAATTCAGTAGACAAAAGACTGGGAGAAAGAATGCAGCACCACAGCATACACTTCTGCCAGCAGCTCTCCTTTAAAAACTTCTAAATGGTCCACATATACATTAAGACCACTAGTCTAAAACATAAATCCTCACTCATATATGAAGCTACTACTTACATCCCTTGACTGAGGTCCTGTTCTTTTTTCCAGGTTCAAGCACAACCAACTCAGATGACTGACCACAGCATAGAATGAAACACTTTCAGTCAGGATTTGAGAAAAAGAAAAAAAGACCATCCAGCAGTACAGGGGACCCACATTATCTAAATGTGACACATACCTTTTTAGTTGAATGGTCAATGGGTTTCTCTCTGTTGTAGGAAGAATCTGAAGATAAAACTTGTGAAGATGATATGCTACCATTTTTAGGATCTGCTGATGAAACAACTGTCTTTAGGTTTATCACAGAAGTAACATTTCTAGGGGCTGGTGATGGTTCTGTAGATAACGTCTGACGGACAATGTAACCCATTGGCGTCCAGGATAACTCTGCTCAGAGATAACGAAAATTGGGGAACAGTCTCAGCAGTAAACAGAAACTCCTTAGAAATTCCAAACATGCATTGTGTGAGATAATTACTGAGAGCATAATTAAATTTAGGCTGTTGTTCAAAACATCCTCTTGGAAACTACAATATTCACTAAACTTGTATTTTCCTTGGATCATGCACGCTGAATTAAATTGTTAGGTTAACTGATCTTCCTAGAAACTGGTTTCCACTTAGGGGTGGTTCAGTTAAAAAACAGCAATCTTCAATTATGTCCACATGGCAAACACACAGAATTAATGAGCTAAAGATCAAATGTTTGCCCTACTAACCTTGATGGGTATCTTTAATAGAATTCAAAAGTTGCTAGACTTCAGCTATCACAATAACTGGAGATTTATTTCTTTTTAGAACACAGGCACAATCACAGCCACACTACTCCTTAGGTGCCCATGAAACTCTATATATACAGACAAAACAAAAGGACAGCCATTAGGACATGGACAGGTCATGTTAGCAGCCCATGGCTACCTCAGACCATCAGACAGACTGGTCTTGTCACTACAGAGCTACACATCCTTAAAGTAGACTCTGAAGTGAAGATCTTTGTACCAAATATGAGAATGCAAGAGAAAACACACCTGTAGATAGATCAGGAAAACTTTTGTAAAAATGTCTCCTATTAGGACAAGCTGCTTATAAAAATTTCAAAAGCAGGCTCCACTGAACACTCTCTGAATATATTACTTTTAGGCCAGGTCAGGCCAGACCAGTAGTTCTCAAAGTGGAGACTGAAGCTCCCAGGACCCGTGAAGTCAAAACTGTTTTCCTAACAATAAATGTGTTATGGGTGCTCCCCGCCCCTGCACTGCCACTCCTCTTCCCTTCTCTCTCTTTTTCAGAGACTGCAAAGATAGGACAGTGAAACAGCTAAATACCAAGGCAGATCTACTGGGCCAACTGTTAAAGAGTTGCAAAAATATAGAAAAAGGCTGCACTCCTTACTGTCTTAATTTTGGAAAATAGTTGTTTATAAAAGTGCTATTTAACATGTAATGGGCTTATCATTGTTACTTCATGTGAATTAGTAAGTATTTTTAAAATTTCTGTTTAGCTTCAGGTATTGCAAATACTGACAGTTGTCTAATAAATGAAAACTCTGTGGGGCTGTTTAAGGGGTATTAAGGGGTCCTGAGACCAAAAACTGAGAACCTCTGATACAGGTAATACTTAAGGAAGATGTCACTTTTGAGTTGATAAACTTTCTCAATGAACTGGACAAACATTTCGTTTAGAATTCTTTGCTATCTTATACTCCTTACACATACATGTGGGATCTCATTTACTTTAATCTTTTAACAACAATGTCAGTTTGTCAACAACCCTTTAGCTGCCTTGAAGGCTTTAAGACAAAAATATTTTAGTTGCACTGGACTAAAAACGAACTTAAAAAAGACAACTGATTTAAAATAATACATGGTAGCCACTCTTACCTCTTATACATGAAGAGGGATTGGTATCAGCATTATCAGTTACAGAGTCAGTCGAATTATTATTTTTCACCACTATTTCACCCTAAAAAGCAAACCAGTTATTTTCTTACTATTTCAAATTGAAAGTAATAATTTAATTTTTAAATACACCTTCCCTTGGCATTCTTAAAATCTTCAAAATATATACTCATTAACAATTCCAAATACGGATATAAGGGGGGATAAATGGTAATGGAAAATAATACAATAAAAAATAAACTATTATGTCCTGGCTAGTGTGGCTCAATGGACGGAGTGCCACCCTGTGAGCCAAAGTATCACTGGTTCGATTCTATCAGGACACATGCCTGTGTTGTGGGCCAGGGTCCCAATAGGGGGTGTGGGAGAGGCAGCCACACATTGATGTTTCTCTCCCTCTTTTTCTCCCTCCCTTCCCCTCTCTCTAAAAATAAATAAATAAAGCCTTAAAAAAACTATTAAAAATTATCCCTCCGAAAGATATTTAATTAAAGTTGATGCATTTGAATGATAAAAGAAATTCCAAAGACCTAAATATATATGTTAAAAGCTCAATTACTTCCTTCTGCCAAATCTCTCTCCTTAGAAGAAAAACCATCCACTGTCTACAGCTTAGATACTGGCGTCTCTCTACTTCTTTGCCTAGGATTTAAATATGTACGTATCAGTTTTATATAGATCCCAATAATGGGATCAAAATGAAAGTAATCATTTTTTAAAGATTTTATTTATTCATTTTTTAGAGAGAGGGGGAAGAGAAGGAGAAAGGGAGAGAAACATCAATGTGTGGTTACCTCTCATGCACCCCACACTGGGGACCTGGCCCACAACCCAGGCATGTGCCCTGACTGGGAATCGAACCTTCGGTTTGCAGCCCGCATTCAATCCACTGAGCTACACCAGCCAGGCTAATCACTTAAAGTACAAGTTCTTTGCCATTTTTTAAATATTTTATTTATTTATTTTTAGAGAGAGGGGAAGGGGGGGAAGAGAGGGAAAGAAACATTGATTTGCAAGAGAAACACCAATTGGGTTGCCTCTTGCATGCCCCCAACTTGGGACTTGGTTGGCAACGTAGGCATATGCCCTCACCAGGAATCCAACCAGTGACCTTTCAGTCTAAGGGATCATGTCCAACCTACTGAGCCACCCCAGTTAGGGGCCTTGCCATTCTTAAAATCTTCAAAATATATGCTAATTAAAAATTCCAAATGCCTAAGTACATAATGTAAAAAAGTTAAAGTACTTCGGTCTGCCAATTCTTTCCCTCTCTAAAAGAAAATCCATCCATTGTCTACAGCTTAGCTAGTACCTCTCTACTTCTATGCCTAGGAGATGAACACCCATCTATCACTTTTATACAGATCCCAATCCCAAAACTGACAACTCAATCAACTTTTGAAAGATCAACATATTATAGACAACTTTCACATCAGCACAGATGTGCCAATACCATTCTTTTTTAAAGATTTTATTTATTTATCTTTAGAGGGGAAGGGAAGGAGAGAGGGAGAGAAACATCAATGTATGGTTGCCTTTCATGCGTCCCCTGCTGGGAATTGGCCTGCAGGGAACTGGTCTGCAACCCAGGCATGTGCCCTGACTGGGAATCGAACCACGATTGTCTGGTTCGCAGGCCCGTGCTCAATCCACTGAGCTACACCAGCCAGGCCAATACCATTCTTAAAACCCCCGTGTCCCCACAGGAATGCTAAAACATCATTTACCAAGTCCACATACCAAAGTTCCAAAGTCCCTCAAAACATCCACAAAGATAACAAATAGAAGAATTGTAATAGGTGCCTGCTTTTATAAATTCGAATTTGAATAGTATACTTCACAAATTTACCCATTTTGTCATTTTTATACCTGAATCCAGTAATAAAAATAAAATCATTAAAACAGTCTGTTCTCTTTGTGTGTGTATGTGTGTGTGTGTGTGTGTATATAACTTTTATTCTCATCAAGGCCAATGACATACTAGAAGTGGCTTACCTGTTCAAAACCAGCTGAGTCAACTATATCAATATCAAAAATCCAGTGCAATAGTTGTTTTCAAAGAGTATTTAAAGACATGGAAAAATGCCAAAAACTTTGAAAACTTCTAAGAGAAGCCCATACATATATATAATCCCCCACATGTACAATTTTCACAATACCATTAACAAAGGATTAAGTTATATTAAATTAAATATGGTTTTCTCTTGGCTATACAATTTCAATTTTCTTTTTTCTTTGGCTGTTCAAAGATGTTACTAGTATAATGAGGAAAAAAGTTTCTCTTAAAGGGGAATAAAAAAATGCACACACAATTCAAGTGTGAGTATATAATAGAGTAACAAGTAAGTACATCTTCTCACATAGCATGATGTACCTTACTTCAAGTACACGTACATAGTACTCACTTCTAACAGGTGACCATAACATAAAGTGTCAGTCATGCTGCCACCCTGTTCTACTTTTGTACAGCGCTCATGGCCTTGGATTTATTCACTGGTTGCGTGTGACCAAATCATGGAGCCCTTCAACTGCTCAGCTATTCTACATAGAGCACTAGACCCAGAATGGTCACTCACCTGCCAAATGAAGACTGTGATTCTTCTACCTCAATCAGCCTTACTCATCACAGCCATGTAACAAGAAAATGCTGTGGGAACAGTATATGTTCTACACACTATAAGCCATTATTACCCAGGCTTGAGGCTTTAGTGTCCAAGCACCCAAGAGAAGGGCAGGAAATGTCTATTTGGGAAGTGTAATCAGGTAAGCTGTTTTCTTCTTTCTCCTTGCCCTCACACTGAGAAGTACCCCACCCATCTTTATCAGAAATCTGTGAGAAGTGATTTTAGGGACTAGTAACCTGATAACTTTTTTCTTAAGTCTCAAATCAACCTGTTTGAGAGAAAAATGGCTTGATTTGGTGGACTAAAACTTTGAGATGAAGTGATGAATACAGTATAATTTAAAATTATTAAGTGGCAATTGAATGTATTTTATTGCAATTACTTTCACTGAATTTGCTATATCATTAACAAGAGAGGTACAGATAAAAAGTCTGAAAAATCAGAAATCACACTATGCAGTTTTAAATACTATTTAAGTAAATAAAATCTTGTTGTCTGTATTGAAAAAGTCCTGTTGAACACAATGCTACAAGTGAGATGTTCACAATGGGCTATCTAACCAGCTGGATTCATGCCAGAATCTTCTCCTGTACCTTTTATTTAACAGATAAAATTTAGTGTATTAGGTGATTCTTTGAAAATAGCAGCACTTAGTATCACATCCTCACTGTAAACAGTTCACACAACAAAAGAGGAAAAGGGAAACAAGGGAAAGGAGCCTGTACTCACCTCTGCTAACACTGGAGTGGGTTTCACCACTTCTCTCACGAGAGAAGTGTCTATAGGGGCAGAGTGTGAAGGTCCCCACTTGGGCTGTTTTGGTGTCTCTAATATCTCATTGTTCTCTCCACCCTGCAGTTTAGGAAAATCCAACCTGGTAAATTCAAACTCAGGTTTGGAGGATGGTCCACATTTTTCAATGATTCTGGATCTCCTTTCTGTTCGTTTAAAATAACCATCTGTATTTACAGAATTAAAAGTAGGAGGAAATTGTTAATGTTTGATGATCTGTACTTATGCTTAGTTGCAGAATAGAAAATCTACTGCTACTGATGCAACATGTTATTGTCCAAAAAGCCGAAGTTTTGCTAGTGCTATTAACCTTCTGTGTAACAGTGTAAACATATATGACCAGAAGAAGAAATTCCTCTGGTTAAGCCAACAAGCAGAAAAAACAAAACAATCTAAAACATTTTATTAAAGATTTATATATTTTTAGAAAGAGGGAAAGGGAAGGAAAAAGAGGGAGAGAAACATCAACATGTGAGAGAAACACAGTTGTCTCTTACACGCCGCCAAATTCTCCCATCTGAGGACCTGGTCTGAAATCCAGGAATGTGCTCTGACTGAGAATCAAACCAGCAACCTTTCAGTTTGCAGGACAATGCCCAAACCACTGAGCCATGCGAGTCAGGTAACACTCAGAAAATTTCAGGAGTATTTCTAATGTTGATGTAATGGTACCTAAATGTGACTGTACAACCAGGCAGTTTGATCATTCTTAATACACATTTTAGAGTTTTGCAAATTTAGAGACATTAACAAATTTCCATTGAGTAAGAAATGTTCCCTTTTTTAGTTTGCTAAAACTGGAGGCAAGCAAGTACCGCTTTTCTATCTTTTTCCTTCAAGTGCAAATGAATGACAATGTCAGTTGCAATGCCATAAAGTCCCTGTGTTTAATCATAAGGCCAGAATTATTATTGTTAAATGCTCAACTTTCCTATCCCCTTTCCATGTAGCAGTTCATTTAGTATATACTAAATAATAAATTATACTTATAAATGATAGACCTTTCCCAATAAGTACACTATTACAAAGGTTTTAAATCACTATATAAACAGGGGATGCCTATAATCAAACTGCACTTGTAAATAAATTACAGGAAAAAAACAAAAAGACCATGTAGAACCACTAACTTTCAGCCACAGATCAGAATGGAAACTTCCAAGCCCAGAGCAAACATGAATTCTGTCAGGAATAAAGTCAGTATCCTCTGAGTAACTATACTGCCCTATAGATTTGGTATTAAGACAGAAGTAAAGTCACAGACAAACTGTCCTACCTATTAAGAAGTGTTCCAACAAAATACTAGAGAAACTGTGTCATAAATAAACATGGCCAAACATAGTACAAAGGATATAGTTGTGATCTGTTTTTATTTAAAGATGACCTACTTGCCATGTGACCTTAGACAAGTTCTTGTGTAAAACAAGGTAAATAACAAATTAAGAGCACATCACAGAGACCACACAACAAGTCCCCATCCCAGAAGGAAAGGCCTCCTGGATCCCAAAGGACATCTGATGGCCTCACCTCTGCACAAAAATAAACCGACAGAAACAGCGGTCCAAAAACAGCAAAGCTTCTGTGGTGGGTGGAGTAGGTTGACATAACACAAAACATAGAGTTTGATATTTTTACCTGATTTCAAAGTAGTGTCAGCACAAATGGATATATGATGTGAGCCTTTTACTGATTTTATATCAGATAATATAGTTCCATCAGCCTTCTTATTATCAAACTTTTGTTCATGACTCATTTTTTTCTGCAGGAAAGATAAGAAAGTAACACAAATGAGGAAAACTACAGCTGACCCTTGAATGAGGAAGCTTAGGGCACTCCCACCCCAGCAGTAGATAACCTGCATATAACTTCTGATCCTGCAACACTTAATAGCCTACTGTTGACTGGAAGCCTTATCGACAATATAAAGCCAATTGACACATATTTTGCATGTTATGTATATATTATATACTATATTCTTACAATACAGTAAGCCAGAAGAAAAAAAGTTAAATAACAGGGTTTGTCTGCACCATTTTTTAAACTGTTACAAATCTCCTACAATTTTTCCAATACATTTATTTTAAAAATATTCACATATAGCCCTGGCTGGTGTAGCTCAGTGGACTGAGTGCCAACCTGTGAATCAAATGGTCACAGGTTCGATTCCCAGCCTAGGGCACATGCCTGGGTTGTGGGCCAGGTCCCCAGTAGGGGGTACGTGAGAGCAACCACACACTGATGTTTCTCTCCCTCTTTCTCCCACCCTTCCCCTCTATAAAAATAAATAAAATGTTTAAAAAAATTTTTTTAATCCACATAAGTGAACCCAGTGGTGCATTTCAATCTCATGTTGTTCAAGGGCCAACTATACTACTGTAAAATAGGTTTAAAATTGCAAATATGTAAGTATAGTCATACCTCGGTACTCTCTGCTTCAGAATCCATCAAACCACTGGCTCATTGCCTTTTGATGAGGAAAAAATGTTCAGCACTCGGCTCTTGCTTGGGACTTGTCACACTTGCCAGAACCTGTATGAGTCATGACATCGCCCCACAAGAGAAAATGCTTCATCATTCAGTACTCATTGCTTTTGGAACTCATCACAGGTTCCAGAACAAATTAACAATGAGTACCGAGGTACCACTGTATTCACAACTCAACTGTTTTAAAAAAGGTTAGACCAAATCAATTCTTAAATACCACAAAAAAAGATGAGTAATGCTTAAGTTAATGCAAGAGCTGACCAGTTCTTTACATTTTAAATGCTAATGTGACCAAAAAACCATAGCACTCCTGGCTGTTGTGGCTCAGTGGATTGAGTGCTGATATCCAAACCAAACCACAGCACTTACTGACCTTAAACAGGGCTTTTGTATCTTGTGGGAGAGTGCTCATGTGCTCATACCGTGGCTTCCCCCTCTGAAAGCCTTGGTAACGACTGGATTGATTGTAATCATACTGGGAGCTAGGCACTGGGCAAACATTCTGTGTAGACTCCAGGTTGTAAGAACAGGTGTATGGATGAAGAGCCATCTCAGATGATAAATAGTGATGTGGAAATGTTGAAGCTCTAAAGGCCGTATCTTCAGGATAGAGTTTCTGCCTAAATAGAAATAGTAAATTTTAGTCACAGATTTCATATCACAAACCACAGAGCTTTAATAATTTGCAATAAAAAAAGTTAAACGTTCACCCTGGCTGGTGTGGCTCAGTGGATTGAGTGCTGGCCTGCAAACCAAAGGGGCACCAGTTCAATTCCCAGTCAGGGCACATGCCTGGCTTGTGGGCCAGGTCCCCAGTTGCGGGCACAAGAGACACAAGCACACATTGATGTTTCTCTCCCTTTCTTTCTTCCTCCCTTTCACTCTCTCTAAAAATAAATAAATTTTTTTTAAAAGTTAAACTTTCATTACCTTTGAGGTCATTCATTCCACATTGAAATAACTCTAATTAAAAGCCAAATAAAACCTCTGAGCCTTTCTTTCTTAACCTGCAAAGACAGATGCTGACCTAGTTACTTTCACTATTGGGCTGGAACATCTTTAAGAGGCCCCTACTATAATGAGCATCGGGAAAGCCTAAGGATGCTCCAGCAGCTTTTCACTCCCAAAATGTCCAATATTTGGAAAAGCCTCTCAGCAACCTTGGCCAAAAGGGATATTGAGATTATTCTTTCTACAGAGAACCCCAACACCCAAATCCAACCTCCATCCTGACAACCTGCAAGGCCTGCCTCTTGGAGCTTCTGGGTGCCCAGAGACATCCTGCTACAGCCCCTTCCCTGTTTCAAGCCCACCACCACATCCTGTGTTCTGCTGACTTGCTGGGCTACAAAACGGACGCTTCAGGCATGGTGGTCCAGAAATTACACACCCTGACCAGATGGACACCATCTGTGAATGATGCCATTGCTCTAATTTGCTTAAGCTGCTAGGTTAAACCAAAATACAATGTAACAGAGATTTTTCAGCAAATCTGGTATATGACCAGAGTATTCAACCATTTTGCAATGAAAGCCAATACAATGACAAAATGCTAAAGAGTTGAGTCAAAACATAAATCACAACCTTTCATCCCCACAATCGAGCACTAGGTGTTTCTGTGAATTTCCACAGCTGAAAATTTTCTTGCAGCAAATCAGTGAAATCCCAATGTGCTAGTCCACTGAAAGGCAGGAAAATCCAAAGCTAATAATGGGACATCCTATATGATCTTCCAACTGTCCAACCATTAGGAGATATGGGCCCAGGTACCAACACTTATTAGAAGTCCTATTTCTACTCTGCTGCAAGTAAGAGTCTAAACAGAAGGAAAAAGGGAGTCACTGTGACCAAGCTGGACTTAGAAGACACCCGTGAGGATAGTCATGTTCTCATTTTCATGCAGTACCTAATCACAGACTGACTGGTATCAATGCCTATTCATTCATATTTTATAAATTTAGATCTTGTAATATCTTTTACTTATCAATAATTTATCCCTGTAATTAAATTTTCCTAATTAAATACCAAACAAAACCCCTCTATTAAACTTTTTCTGCTCCACAGACCATCTGACTAGGGCTGCTCTTTGAAAAGAGGGAGTCTCCAAGCTGCATCCCACTCCCCAAATGCTAACCCTAGATGTGACTCCCCATTTTATTTATTTGATGCTCAGAAAATCTAATGGGCATCAGATGAAGGTGAGAGGAATCTGTTCTTTACAAGATGGGCAAAGAAGATGGGTTGATAGAAAAAAAGCAAGAAAGACTGTCTCAAGTTCAAAAACTGGATAAATGAACAGACCAATAAAATTTAGGTAAAGAAGAAAAAAAGGGCAGATCCAATGGTGGCTTTTTAAATTTATTTTTACTAATTGATTGACTTTTTTAGAGAGAGAGGGGAAGGAAGGGAGGGAGGGAGAATGAGGAGGAAAGGGAGTGACAGAGAAGGGAGTAAGAGAGAGCCAGAGAGAGGGAGAGGGAGAGAGAGAGGGAGGGAGAGGGAGAAAAACACACTGACTTATTGTTCTACTTCTTTATACGTTCTTTGACTGCTTCTTGTATGTGTCCTGACCAGGGATTGAACCTGCAACCTTGGCACACTGGGACAAAATTCTAACTAAATGAGCTATCTGGTCAGGGCCCTAGTGGTGATTTTGAAGACTACTGTCATCCAGAAAATGTTCACCCAAGTTAGCAGGCTCTGGCTTCGTCCTCGCTCTATCACAATCTTGTTTTCCACTTTGGAGGTATCATCACAGATCCTCCTTCCTCTGAAAAGATGGTATTTTTTTCTTTCCATCCAAGGTAAACAGAATTATATGCAGAGAACAACTCTTCAAATGACTTCTCTGTAAAATTCCAGTTGCCATACACTGCTCAGATGACCCTTAACCATAGTAGCGCTATCTCCTTTATGCCCACTGTCTTATCCTGCACTCGTTTCCCCTTGATAGCAGCAGCTCATCTCTGTCATGTATTTGTGTAATACTTGCCAGTCCCTCTGCTCTTCTCCTTGCCCCATCCGTACCAATGATTACGAGTCTCTAGGACAAGGGTGTCAAACCCATTTTCACTGGGGGCCACAGAAACCTTGCAGTTGCCTTCAAAGGACTGAATGTAATTTCAACTCTTTAACAGTTAAGGAGTAGTTACATTTACACAGCCCTAAAATTATTTTGGCCCTTTAAAGGCAACCTCGAAGCTGATATGGCGCCCAGTGAAAATGAGTATGACACCCGTGCTCCAGAACTTCCTTCCTGCCATGCTGTCACGTCTTCAGCACAATTGGACGGGTTTGGCCCTTGTATCACACCACTAGAAAAGTTCCTCTGGCCTGGACTTATAAATCCTGCCCTCTTTTTGCTCTTGCCCACCTCCCAAAGCCTCCTTTTTGGCATGGTTTCCCCTGCACTCTATCTCACCTGTCACATTCATGGAGTCCAAGCATCTCACTGTTCTGTTCAGGATACACACACACACACACACACCCCCCAATACTTGCAACCAAGTACCTTCATCACCTCCAGCCCTCTAATTCCAACTTGTGTATCGCTTCCACTTAATAGTTCACTTTCCCTCAATTTGGTATATATAAATCTAAAATTAAACATCTGGTCCCCAAACTAGCCCTACTTCCAACTTGTGTTCTCATAAATGATTCTACAATTCTTTCTAACTATTAACTGAAAATTGCTATACACCTTTCCTACCAACACCCATATGGATAACCACAGAATCCTTTTTCTCTTACAGCAGGTCTCAGTGTATTTTTTTTTCAGTGCCTAGAACCCAGTCAAAGCTTCAAGCCCCTCTCCCTTAAAGTTAAACCAGAATCCAGGGGTGAACCCAAAAGCTCCCTATTTCATACCCAGCAAACCTAAACTTTCAGCTGTACTATGTAAATGTTTAACTGCCTAACGACACCCCCTTAAAAATGGTAACTTTCTTTTCTACCGTCTCCCAACACATCTTTCACATGATCAGTTTGGATCACAGCTGGCAAGGATCCAGCCACTCCTCCACCTACCAAACCAATCTGAGCCATACTAACAGCACTGCTAGTTCTCAAAGCTGAGAGGTTTTAACTTAAAAGCATCCATCTGTGCATTGTGACATTTCATAGTATATTCCAAGATGCTGAGAATGCTCAACAAACTTTCACCAATAGCAACAGCAGCTTTGGGAAGTAAAACTGAACTCAGAGTAAAAAAACTAAATGCTAATTCTGATTCTGGTGTTACCTATCTGAATAACTTTGGTGAAGCAATTCTAGCCTGTTTGTCATGTGTAGAAATAACATTATAATCTACAGCTCCATCATACCACCCTAAACACACCTGATCTCATCTGATGTTGGAAGCTAAGCAGGGTCAGGCCTGGTTAGTACTTAGATGGGAGAAATAACACTACACCTCCCTGTCAACACCATGGATGCAGCAAGCACAAAAAGATGTAAACATAGACAATACCCAAACAAAATATAACAAAGAGAGAACGTGTTTTATCTGCATAGCCTCTAATTGTTCATTATACCAGTAAATAATGAGTACTTTCCAAATGGTCAATTCTACATACCAGAATACTTCTACTAATATTTGTCTGTCTATAACATAAATTTGGAGAAGATTGGTACATTTTCTTTCATCTCCATTTGTTCAAGTCTATAAAAAATTGACCAAAACAGAATAGCTCAGGAGATAAGTCTTTCCTGCTTAGCATCTGGCATTTTCCATACAATATTTAACCCCAACTGAATAAATGAAATCCCTTTGAGTGCACTGTTGGGGCACTGGAGGTAGACAGAAAAAACAGAAAAAAAAATCTACCTTTTTTTCCTTAAAAAAGGGTAGATTCCACCCTTAAAAAAAGGTTCCTCCCCCTTTTTAAGGGGACATACAGAATAAGGTTGTAATAGTGGAATTAACAGGAAAGAGAAAATATATTTGTTATAGAAAAGGCTACTCTTTTTCTTCATGGCAGCAAGAGATCTCCATATAGATGAAATCTGACTAGAGCAATGCACTTCTTAACCTACATTAGAACTGACTAGATAATCTGTTCTCAACTAGGTAAAGTCTCCCCATTTCCTACTCACTTTAAAGGCTTCTGTTCTTTCTAACCTTTTCTCTTTGATTTCATGCCTCCTCTGTCCCTAATTGTTTTCTTGCCAGTCAGGAATATTGTCAGCCAATCATTTCCTTTGTTATAAACAATTAAAAATCAAAATCAGCCCTGACTGGTGTGGCTCAGTTGGTTGCAGGTTGCAGTACTGTCCCATACACTGAAAGATTGCCAGTTCAATTCCTGGGCAGAGCACATATGCAGGTTGTGGCCTCGATCCCTAGAGCTGGGCACATAGGGGAGGCAAGCAATCAATGTTTTTCTCTCACATCAATGTTTTTAGTTCTCCCTTTCCCTCTCTCTAGAAATCAATGAACATGTCCTGCAATGAAATTTTTTTTTTAAATCAAAATCAAAGCTAAAAAGGATAAGGGATTAAGAAACATGTTTAAATTTAGTACTGCACAACCCTGAGCCTTGAATCACAGTTCATGTTACTGCTAGGACATTGCTTTAGCTATGAACGTTTTCCACTTTTATTTTGAGTTCCCAGAATCCCACCCAGCAGATGGCTTAGAGACCTTGTCACTAAGATGTATTTTGTATTTTATTATGTGAACCACTCAAGGTAGGGAACAACTCAGATGAGACCCATGCCAACATCCCCTTTTACAAAAGATGAAATTACACCAGAAAATTTGGGTATTCCTACCAAAGAGCTTTAGTACACACAGGTACATCTTCAACTTTTGTCAAAAAATACAACTTTTAATATTTCCTAAATATACCAGACAACTCAATGATTTTCTTACTCATTCCAATTCTCTCAATCTTGTGGATATAATTCTAGAATATATAGGAAGTATAAGCAGTTTCCAATTACACCATGTAGGTGTGGGGGAAAAAAGAAAAAAGGAAACAAATTTGATGCATATCAAAGAAATGTAAAGAATTCTTACATGGCAAAAAGGTGATTCATACGTTAAAAATAAATCTACAAATAATCTTCACAATTATGTGAAAAGTTTAACTTATTTTTCTAAATTTGGCTAACAATGAAACCATTCTGTAAATACCTTAAGAATGTATTCCAAGGGAAAAAAATGTAAAAAACATAAGCCCTCTTTTAACTCAAATCAAGAAGAATTTATAACCAAATTATGCAGAAACCACCTCCATATGACACATATAAAACAAAATGATTGAAAGCAAAACCAGGCAACTTGTGAAGAATTATCCACAGACGCAGCTATGGTTGCTAATTCCCATTCCTTCAACAGCAAGATTTTTAATGTCACACCCTAAAACTGAATAACCTGATTATTTATTTAGGTTTCTCTCTACCCCATTTCCTCCCCCACCCCTGCCATTTCATCTGCCATCACATTCATAACATAGTTTTAAACTGTATGCACAAATGAACCTTTAAACTCTACTTCCTACAAATAAGTGCAATATAGTCTACACACTTTCTTTACCCAAAATACCTGAGTACAGAGAAAGAAAATGAGAGCTGAAGCTTCAGTTTCTGCTGCAGGACACACTTAAGTTGTGCTACTGGTTCAGACTGTTCCTGGCTAAGGAGCATCTTCTCTAGTTGCTTTGAGAATTTTAATGTGTTAGCCAATGTTGTAAAGTCTAATCATTATTAAAGCCAAGAAATCAAGTCCTCAGGTAAGGCAAGGCATTTATAAAAATACATACTCAGGCAATGGTAGTTCCTGAACACAAGGATAGTACGTGGCTGCACAGCTAGGGAACACGTGTGCTTCTGATGACTCTAACCATGCCACCCTGAGCCCAGCAAATTTGGGGATAAATGGTTTGACATCTGCTGACAACTTGATGCCCTGAAGAAAAAAATGAGGTTATAGCTACATACATTATGAGATCAACCAAATGTAAACAAACAGAAAACCCAGAGTGACTCCATTCTGGCAGTACCCAGAAATGCTAATCCCAGCGCTGTTGTTCAAATATCTCTGCCTACTAAAAACAAGCATTTGCCAACAATTTCTCCCCCGATGCTTTATTTAACTAGAAAAATTGGCCCACCAAATATTTAAGTGAAAAATAAGAACAGCAATTATACTGCAAGTAAAATTCAACCCAGATATATACTTAGGACCACAACTGACAGTTCCTTAGCTTTAGCTGGGAACAGGGGTATTTTATCTCTCTCAGCTGTACCTAGGGATAAGCCAGCATTGTAGCACTGTGGGTAATCAAACGTTACCTGTAGCACAAAACACATTGCACAAGTTTATTTCCACTAAATTTCTCATAAGAGTTACACAAACTACTTTCTTTTCACTCGGTGAACCACTAAAAGTTTTGCTTAAAAGCTAAAGTTTTGCTAGAAAACCTATCGCCATAAACCCTTGGAATATTTAAGTTGTAAAGTAGATTTTGGTTCTTATACACGTGTTGAAAGATTTACTTTCACTGACAACTCTTAAATAAGATGTTTCAAGCGTTTGAAACCCAATCCATGCAAGTGCCTCGGCTCCACCTAGTGGTTGCGCTGAGCACGCCTAGCGGAGATTCTCACTTCAAAATACACTTGAGCAAGAGCTACTTGAACCACTCCTGGCCACAAAGGCGGGGAGCCAGTGCGGCTGCGCAGCCTTCCCGCGGGGAAATGGACAGTGTCCCCTCGACAGCGTCTTTCCTCAACCCACTCAGCAGTGAGCAATGTAGATGCCAGGGTTGGGGAACCGACCGCCCCTCCCGCGCCGCCCCAATCCCGTCCGCACCCCTCGATTTTCGAGGATGCCCGGAGCCACGGTCCTCACCTCGCCCCCGGGTTGTCGAGGCCCCTCTGACGCCATGGCCCACAGATCTGAGGCGGCCTGGCCTAGAAAGCCAGAAGCCGCGCCGTCGGCCGGCTGAACTGGAGCGAAGCACTCCTCCTCCCCACTGTTCCGCTTTCCGAGCGGACGCCAGGAAGTGCGTCACAGAAACGGGCGCCGGCCCGCCCTGTTTCCGGTAACGAGTGCCTGCGGCATCTCGTACGGTAATTCGAGCTCTACCCCTGAACTGAGGTGGCTGGCTCCCGTGTACCTTCTTTGCAAAGGCAATGAGCACTCGGGATGCAGGCAGACCAGACCCGAATGAGAGTCCACACGGGGTAGCGGGACCAGTAGCGGGGTGGGAGGGTGGTAGGTTGGGGACTTACAAGTGCATACCCGTTAAGTTGTACAGAGCTAGAAAACCAAAGACTTAGTTCCTAACTTCAGGAACTTCATGCACTTTGGAAGTAACCACAGAAAAGAATTCCGAAATTGCCCAGTTCTTTTCACCAATTAGCTGTTAACTATTAGGAAGGGTGCTGGGAGAGATAAAAAGTTTGGTTTTCCAGGAGGGAACAATGCCATCCAGAAGGGAGTTAAGTAAGGTGAAAAATGGACACGGGTCAGGGATCACACGGAGGTGAGGGAGGCTGCAGGGTGGACACAGGAAGAACTGACTTGCACTGGAGCTGGGAGGAAGGTGTAGGAATTATTTAGTGTTGCTGCCAACGTGGGTTATTTGACCCGTAGAAATTGATTAGACTCAAAATGCTAGGCTTTAGGTTAACTCTGGGAAACCTTTACCTTGCACCGAGAGGGCTTCAGTAACTACTAAGTACAGTATTCCAAGCAGGAAAAACGCAGGCAGCTCTATTTCTTCAGGTTTCTGTGTGGTTAATTAAACATGCCTGCGCCCAGTCAAACCTGCAGAGCTTGGAGAGATGCAGGGTCTAGTGGCGTAATCAGTGCTGGAGGTTGTGGAAGGGGTTGTCCCCGATAACCTCTCAGGTATTGTTTGGTCTGCCCTAAATGCAATAAAGGTTACTTAGCAATCCTGTCATCTGTTGATTTGCTAGCTCAGACCTCTAACTGATGGGTCCCCAAAAGCAGTTCTAGGTTCCTTCAGTCTTTATTGTACTCATGTAATGGCACCCCTTTCTAAAGGGGGACATACAGAGGACCACCCAAGTGCAGTCTAGTTTACCTTAAGCTTATTTTTAAAGGATTCTCCAGTATACCAATTAAGATAGACTGCATTATCTTTAAAATATTTCCCTAGCAGCTAAAAAAAAAAAAAGCAACTTTACAGACTCAAAATAAAATACCTATGACATGAAGGGGTTTTTACAGTGCTTTCAAACTTTAAAAAATGCTATTGTATTTTATAGGAAACATCCCCACCTGGCAAAGGGAGAAACAGGGTTAAGTGGTTTCTTCCAAGGCCAATAGATGTATGTAGCAGTTCTTAGGTGAGTATTAAGCTCAGAGAGTATTAAGTTGGGCTCCTTACTCTTCAAATGAAGGCCCTAAACAATTAGCTCTGGTGAATTTATACCTGGTTCTTGGTTTCTTCATAAGTAAATTGAATGATAACCTCATCACACCAACCTGTTTTAAATCCCTTTAATTATTTGCTCAGGACCAAAATCATCAAATGGAAATCATCCAAAAACTTCTAATCATGAATTAACTTTAAATAAACTTCAATAACTTCACACAGTGATAAATGCAACATACAAACTTTATTTAACAAAAGTAACATGTAAAGTCAAACAGGCACTTACATTAACAGTTAACTACAAGAAATTTTAAACACCTTACAGTAACCTACTTGCAGTTGCATTTAACTGAGCTCTGTTGCTGTGAAGAATACAGCTCATGCACAGGTATGGATGAATGATTTGTACATTTTTCAAGTATTCACTGAATACTACCTTATATACACATATACATTAAATTTGAAAAAGATTAATTGACGATTCCCAGATATACTTCATTTCTGTTGCTCTTTTGGAAGAGGTCGTCGAAAGAGAAGAATATGTGGTTCTGTGGAAAGAAAATGTTTTATATCACTTTAATATAATATGGTTAATTTTCACTCAAAATTCAAAGAATTCTCAGCTGAACCAAAATAAAGTAAAATAAACCTACTGTCAACTAATGTTACTTATTGAGGTATCTAAAATTTTGCTTAAAAGTCAGTCTACAGGAAACAGAAGAAAACAGCCTGATATTGAGAGTATTTCCCAAGTGTTTAGTTTTACCCACCCTGGAGAAAAGGGATGGTAAGCACAAAAGCTACTTTGGGGAGAATGGTTTCTATTTTTAGAATCTCAATTCCACCATAAATAAATAAATAAATAGAATAGAATAGAATAGAATAGTTATATCTGTGGGGTAAAAACACTGACAGCTCATTCGAAACCCACCAGCTTATATAATAATGCCAGTCCTAGGGATCTATCCCAGTAGATTATTTCATTGTGAAGAGGTGGCCTAAGAATCTACAGTTAAGTTCTCCTCAGTTGCTTTTGTATTATCTGGAGAAAACACCTCTTGAATTCTAATATAGTTACATGCCTGAATCCTACCTGTGAGTCTTAAAAGAGTTTTTGATATTGCTACTGCCACTTTTCCTTAGCAGGAGTGGAAAACAAGATAACTTTAGGCCCATCTAACAACTTCTACAGTATACCTTCAAACTTTGTTCAAAGCATTTTACATCTTAAATTTTTGACTTTAGATTTACTGATATAATCCATAAGTAGAATTTAACCCCACAAAGTTTTAGTTTACAGTTTAGTTAATCTGGAAAACTGGTAAATACCACTTACACATCCATAATATATAACAAAGGCAGCACATTTAAATTCACTGGCCATTTCATCTATTTAATCTTACATACAATTACCCTTTAAATAGAAGGCTAAAAGAGAAGACAAATCACTTCAAATTGCATAAATTTCTATACATAAAACTTGAAAAAATAACCTATTTATTTATAGATGGGAAGAGAGAAAGAGGGAAAGAAACATCAGTGTGAGAAAAAACTTTTGTATAAGTTCAGATCAGGATGGAAACCTGCAACCTAGGCATGTGCCCTGACTAGGAATGGAACTGGTTGGTGACTTTCCACAGGAGGACACCCAACCAACAGGCACACACCAGTCAGGACCTCCCTACATAAAATTTAAGGACACTTACGTTGTCTTTAAGTAAGTTCTTAGTTTCCAAAGAAGGGATAACAGAATACTAAATATGTTTATGGTAAAATAAGATGATTAACATTGACACAATTTTTTAAAAAAGAATAGCCTAATTTTTGACTCACTTTTTTATATGAGAGAAAAACATTATTTTCACTCGTGTGTTATTTTATTTATTGTAAAATTGGAACCCTCTCTAGGGAGGAAAAGAATCAAGTCATTCATTCAAAAGTAGTCAAAACCATCACTTTAGGATATCACTGAATGTCAGCTGTACTAAAAAATTTTCAACAACCACAACAGCTACTATTCTAATGCAGTTAATGTTTTCCCAAATAGAAAACTTACCTGGCTCATGAATCATGTAATGAACCCATCCTAGACTCTGTTGGACACCAAGTCTCCTCCACTCCTCTTCAGACATCAGATGGGTTTTGGGTACTTGTTTGGAAAGTTCTCTGGGTAACATGACATGCCTGTTGAAAGACACAGCCAAGCATTAGTGCTCTTTGTGTAAATATGCCTTCTACCATTGTGATCACTTGACACATCTTTAGGATACTTAAAATTTGAGGGTTTTTTGTTCTCAAAGTTCTTTAAAGCAACTGGCATACTGTGTCAATTGGCATCAGTCTTGAGGACTACAATCTGCACTACCTTTAATTCTGATTTTTAATGGCCTATGTTCAAATTAGGGAAGGATATGCAGACCAAAACCAGAAGGCATTCATTTTATTTAGGATTAACTTCTTTTCCCACCAGAGGGCTTGCAAGTTGTCTGAATGTTCAAAACTAATTTGGACACACAATTACCCAAAAAATATCCAGACTATGTCTGGCCATGTGACTAAACCCTGGGCAATGGGATCTAAGCAGAAAATAGGTAATTTATGGAAAGTGTCTGCAAAAGGAAAGAACATGCCCGATTCTTTTTATCTCTTTCTTGTTGATTATGCAGATTAACCTGATTAGGAAGCTAGAGAAGCCATATATAAGAAGCCCTATATTAACCTGATTAGGATGCTAGAGAAGCCATATATAAGCCATATTACAGAAAATATTGTAAATTGAGGATGGTCCTTGGTTGTGGAGCTGTCAATCCAGCCTCATGGAGCCTTTTACATAAAGGAGAAAAAAAAAACTCATTTGTTAACAGTTAATTTGGGTTTCCTATTACTCAACATTTTAGATTTGTAGCATAATCAAATTCTTGTATACTCCAGAAGTTGCTTTATACTTTGTTCAGAATCAAAAGTAAAAAACACTAATCACATATACACATCTATCTTGCAGCCTTCAGTTTTCCAGTAAGTTAATGGACCTATATATCCAAAACTTGTTCTTTTTAGGAAGGCATGTAATATTCTTCAATGTGAAGAACACATAAAATTGTAGCTTTGTTAAATTCTCAGACACAAAGTTGCACCACCCCTTATTTAATTATAATACAAAGATCTTCATAAAAATCAGTTCCTAGGTTATGAGTATTAGTTTTACACAGTCATCCATAACCACCAACCAAATTTTTATTTTACCAATATAGGATATTTATATTTGTGAATCAGTTGGCTAGGGGTGAGAAAGGTGCAATCTGGTTACTTTCTGGCACACTTTCTAGGAAAAGTAAACTCATAACCCAGAATAAGACTGATGTGTCAACCTAGTCTGTGGCTGGTTAGTTAAGTACCAATTTCGTATTATTTGCAGAACAAAAGTGAGCCTTGGCATGACTGTATTATGTAGTTAGATCACCATAAGGTCAAGTCATGTTATGCTTACTGTCATCGTTGGTTAAAATTTCTCCAATTCCCATGAACTACATGGTGAATCTTAGCAATACTTATCAGCTACCTCATTCATTCTTAAAATGCTGCTTTAACAACTACTTTTAAGGTTCTGCAGTAACAGAACCTGTTATCTTACTTCTATCATGTTGTTAATTAGTCTCAAAAAGAAATGTAATGCTAATTATAATTAGATCTACCCTCTTATTTATGTGTACCTACATAAATGTATCAACATGTTATTCTGATAGAAATCGCAACCCCTACCTTTTCCAGAAACTATAGAAACAGGCTTATCATTGAGATGTGATTATAAAGGAAAAATTTGTAAGCTGCTTCAAGTTCACATAGAAATTCTATTTGTATTTCATTGCGTGGAGACAGTATCTAACTATGAGTTATTATTTCCAAAACTCAATTTTTATTTCAGTACTATGGGCTTGTCACGGAGAAGGTAAACACAAACATAAACAAAGAAGCTACTAGATGTGATTAGGAGGGCCCAACAGAAGCTGTGGATTAAGATTTTTAAAATACTAATTTAGTTTTTATAAATTTAAATCCACACATCTTATAATAGTTGTTCCAGGTGTTATTTTAAAGAACTAAGTTTTTAAGACCACTTACAAAAAAACCTAAGTGTAAATAAAGGAAATAGAAAATTAAGTTTGCATTTACACACACACAAAATCAAAGATGTAGGTAACAGTACTGGCAAAAAATAAAACCTTTTGAAGTTCACACTGTATGCTGCACTGCCATATACAAACTTCCCTAGAATCACACCTCTCTGCTTTTATTATCAACTATTGATTTGCCTCTAAAACAGCTCTAAAGATTAATTACTGTTCTGTTTCTATTGTACAATGGTAAGTGGCTTGGCTATGAAGGGCCATCATTTTAAATTAATAATGGATTAGAAGTACATTACTTTAAATATATCAGGATTTTCTTCTATACATAACACACACAAACTACTAACTAAATTTGGCTAAAATTTTGGTATCACAGTCTACTTACCTAGTACTCATCAATGATTGTTGATTTGTTAAAACTAAAAAATGAAACCACTGCCGAATAGTATTTTAATTTGTATGAACCCACACATGTTTCAGAATTAATTATTTTTTCCAGGTTTTAGAAAGAATACGGTCTACATTCTGTCCATTGTCTATCCCCAATGTCGACCAATACTGTCCATTGGTCGACATCACATAATTGAACGTTATTCCAACATATTACAGCATTCAGGCTGTGTACTTCGTACTTACCGTGCTTAAAAAATGATCGACTTCAAATTCCAATCCAGAAAAACGAGATTTTTCTGATTGTAATATAAAAACAATGTATTACTAATCTCTAAAGCCCTGTTTTTCTTCTGAGAATGCAGATTTCCAACACAACTAGAGACACACACCAAACTTTATATACTTTCTTCCTCAAATAACATTTTTTTCAAAGAGCAGCATACAGAAAACAAGGTCACTACTTGGCTCCGGAATGAAGGTGCCCAGGCACCACCCAGGAGGACAGCCAGGGTCAAACCGGTCTTTGAAGCCACGCCCCAAGTCTGCAGACAATAAAACCAATAAATAACGAATTTCTTCCCTCCCACGAGTTGCTAACTTTATGGATTAATTTCAGCATGTATGTTGTAGTGCATCACATCACGACGCTAAGGCCAAAAGTCCTCAAAGCGAAGATTACTTGGCCAGGATGCACTAACAGAAAAAAAATGTCGGTAGTCCACTTAAACTCTCCATTTAATCTGGAAAGGAACCCCCTTTAATAATGCCCTTAGTCATCATGGTTAACGCACAAAAGGCTAAGTAGAGCACCAAAAAAACATTTTTCAAATCCCAGTCAATATGCCAAGTTTTCGGGGATTCCCCTTCTAGGTCGATTTTAGAATCACTAACGTTGAAACAAGAACCAAAAGCGTTTACGTTAACAAACTAAAACCACCTTTCTACCTTCCACCTGGTAGTAACTGCAACAATGCTAATTAGTTCGCGATTCTCGGGACACGCGGCACCAGTGGAGGAGGCGGGCTCTCGCCGCTGGCTGTCCGCCACTGTTCAACCCAGAGGGCCGACAAGACTGTGGCTGAAAACCGGGGTCCATTGCTGCCCTTCCGCCCGTTCCCTCTAAAGCAGCAACTCAGAAGCGGCCCCAACCCCGCACCGCCTCCGCCTCCTCACGAAACGAACAAAAAGCGGAGGCCGGACAGGCCCGCAGAAGCGAGGAAAGGGGAACGTTCCAGCCCCAACGCGTCCAGACGCGCTTCTACCTCGACAGCCTCGATCTCGATAGGAACCCTACTCTAACTACCCGCAACCACCTGGCTTTACTTCCGGTCCCATGCGAATCCCGGCCGCCCGACTAAGGGAGCCCGCCTGAAGCCGCTCACCGGTATTCGTAGTGCTCGTCGAAGTATTTGTCTGAGTAGTAGATCTGTTTGTGGGCCATCCTGCCAGAAGGTGAAAGGCGCAAAGAAGGAGCGTTGGGGCAGGAAGAGTGGTCTCAGCCTACACAGCTATCTTCCGCCTCTGACCGAAGTAACGACTCGACTGCGACTAACCGACAACTGGTCGAACGATCTCGGTTTGAATCCGACAGCCCGCCGTTGATTGGAAAGAGAATCCGACCAATCATCTTTTACGCAAGCTGCGGGAAGGCGGGGCCAGCTTCCAACCTATTATCAGCGCTCCTCCGCGTTGTTCACTACCAAGATCAGCCACTCAAAAGCCTGTTGCGAAGTTGCCGGAGGGAAGAAGTGGATGATTGGCAGGGCGTGGAGGCGGAGAGCTTCCTAGAATTAGGAGCGTCACTTCAAAGGTTGAAGTGGAGACGTTTATGGTTCTCAGGGCGCGTGCGTAGGAGTTTCGAACGTTCCAGGTCTGTTGAGCCGTTACGGCGACAAACCTGCAGGACCTGTGAGATACTGTAGGGTGTGGCGAGACCTGGGCGGGGCTGCCGGCAGCCGCAGCTTACTAGCAGGCGCTGAATCGGTGTTCCTGGGCTGGGGTTCGCGTCTCAAGTCCGTGGGAAGTGGGGAAAGCGCGCGGGCCACGTTACGTTGCGGAAAGTCCAGGATTGGGAAGGGTGAGAGGACGAGGCCTAGCTTGGGGAATAGGGACGCGGAGAAGCTGAGGTTGAGCTCCATGGAACGTTTCAGAAGTCGGACAAGGTGCTGCTTGGTTGGCGAGTCCGGGGCTTAGCCCGGGAGGCCCGACTTTAGGTAAAACCTGTGTTCTCACTCCGTGCACACACTCGGATAACTACCCTGTGGGTACGCATGTATATGCGTGTTTTCTCAATGGGAAAGTGTGAAAAGATTCCTAAAAATGACACTGTTAAATACTGGGATTAAAAGTGGTTTTTAAAAGTTCTTTTGGCTCTTAGTATTGAAATCTAAATAAAAGTTGCTGGGGGGAAAATGCCGGGATATATGCTGGTTCTTTTAGGTGATAATTAAAAAATTGCCTTTAGTCTTTTTCATATTTCCCCAAATGAGCATGTTATTTTTGTAGTAACAGCCTGATTCAGAGTTAGTTGCCGCACCGTGCTGATGAGAGCGTAGATGGGCCCTGCAACTCTCCGACACTAGGTGGGCCTTTAACTCTCATTGTTCTGAAAGGGCTTCCTTATTATACCTAGTGCTCTGGAGGTCCCGCTTTCCCCATTCCTCCGCCTCCTTGCATCCTTCGGGTTTCCAGCCCCGCCCACCGGGCTTTGCTGGGTCTGCCTGGCCTCCCACTTGGGGTGTTGCATATCTCGATAACCCAGGGTAGAGGGCATGTCTCTTGTTCACCACTCCGCACCCACAACATAGTAGAGTCCTTTGCAGATGAGCACTAAATTTAAAGTAATATGTAATAATTTATGCCTAAGTCATTGGATGTGGTTATGTACTGTGATGGTAAAGATGTAAATAAACTGTTAAGGGAGATGATTAGGGAAATCACTAACTTTCTGGCAGACGCTGGGAAAGAAAAGCTTCCTAGGAGATGTATTTTTTACAGAGATGTATTGTGGAAAATTTCCACACGTAAAAGTGAAATAGAATTAACTTGGGCCTACCAATTATTTAATTCAGCAACAAATATATTGCCCTTCGTGTTTCATATGTTCCCCTCTTTTTTGCTAGAATATCCTTAAAGAGATCTGAAGTATAATGCAATTTACTCTGAAATGATACTTTTGTGTCTATCTCTGTCTTTATGGTGTGCATCTCAAGAAAATTAAAAAATATTCTCTGACACCTGTTTTAGATTGATTCTGATTAACAGTTGCCTTTTTAAATGTGTCGCTCCCCAACCTGGTTTTGAGTGATTGTTTTGTTGTGGTGTTATTTACTTTTTCTATAATCTTGTTTTGTTTCTTTTTTTTTTAACTTCATGGGGTATGCATGCCAATACTCCCCATCCCCAGATCCTTGATGGTGGTAGGGATAGGACATAGGGAAAATGCGAGGGGCAGGCTGGGCTAGGGGTCAGAAACCAGAGGGTTGAAGCCCATGCTGAGAACCCACCTGGGAAACAGTGGGAGGCAAGGCTTCTTGTAAACTGAGGCTCCCATCCATCAGTGCAAGCTCTCTTGTCCCACCAGACTTCACTTACAAAACATAAATTTAAAAATAAAATTAAATCACATCTGCTCTGCCAGATGTGAAGGCAAAGCATTAAACCCAAGTGCAGGGTCCTGTGTGATTGCACTAGTTGCACACCATGAATTGCAACCAATTCAGTATTTAAAAACATTCTTACATAAGAGAATAAACTTTTCATAGAACTTGAAATGTTGGTAAAACTCTTCAGAAGACTTCTAATTACTGCTTCAATTTAACAGAGGGCTCATCAGTCTTTTCTGACTTCTTGAGCCAATACAGGAAGTAAAGAGGAAGTATGTAAAGGTAAAACTGAGGGACCAAGCAAAAACAAATAATAAAATAGCACACTTAAAGCCTAACATCAAATGTCACATACCTAGAAATAAACATAACATATACACAATGACATGACAAGCAAAATTAGGAATTTTTGAGACATAAAAGATTTGAATAAAGGAAGAGATGTACTGTGTTTGAGGTTAGGAAAATTTCATGTTATAACGATATAAATTCTCTAACTTGGTCAGAGTTATTTTAATTCTAATTTTTAAAACACTTTCAAGGGACTTATTTAACTGACTAAAATGTATATGGAAGAGAAAAGGGCTAAAAATAGCAAAGACATTTCAATGGACTAACAGATCATGACTTATTAAACTCTAGAAATTAAGACAATGTAATAGTCACTTATGAAAATTAAGATAACATGGTAGTGGATAAACAAGCTGACTGATATGTAATGGCCAGCTCAGGATACTGTTTGCTGAAGTTTTATCATTGTAGATACCCTTTAGATCATTTTGAGGATGTACTGGTTCATTCCTAGTTTGCTAAATTTCTATCATAATAGATATTGTATGCCCTTGCATACTTTTCAGGTTTTTATTTTTTATATTTAATTTTTTAGAATTATGAATATAAGTTGTAAATACTATAAAGAGATGAAAGGATATTAGTAACTGCAGCCTTAAGAATGAGTCAAATGGCAATGCTATTGAAAACTAAATAATTGAGATAGAAAATTCAACAACTAAACTGAAAGCATTATGCTAAAAGTAAGAACACATTAATGAGCCAAAGGGTAGGGTTGTGTAACAGTCCCCCAAAAAACATCAGAAAGCGTAAAGAGAAAGACTTAAGGAGGCTAGAAGCGACACTTGTCATTATTACAATAGTTGCAAATGGAGAGGAAAAAAAATAGAGGAGAGGAAATACTTGTACAAATAATGGTTGTGAACTCCTCAGCTTTAAGGAAAGATAAAAGACTATGGGTTCAGCCCTGGCTGTTGTAGCTCAGTGGATTGAGCACAGGCCTGTGAAGCAGGGGGTCACTGGTTCGGTTCCCAGTCGGGGCACATGCCTGGGTTGCAGGCTGGGTCCCCAGTAGGGGACACATGAGAGGCAACCACACATTGATGTTTCCCACTCTTTCTCCTCTTCCCCTCACTAAAAGTAAACAAATAAAAATTAAAACAAGATATATTTTTAAAAAAAAGACTATGAGTTCAAAAGGCTTGTGGAGTGCTAATTGTATAGATAAGAAAAATATAACCAGAGAGAGATTGTAATGCAACTTAAGAACAACAAACACAGAGCTCTAAAAGCTTCCAGGGTAACATTACAGATTACACCTACAAAGCAACAAGAACAAATTAACAATGGCAATCTCCAAAGCAGCTCTGGACTCGAGGAAATAGGTTACTTGTTCACAAAGGGCTGAATGAAAGTGAATTCAAGACAAAATTTCACAATACAGTAAATCCTCACCTGACATCATTGATAGGTTTTTGTGAGACAGGCTAGTAAGCCAGGACAAGTGGAATAGAGGAACAGACATAGCTGAACAGACTGGTGGAGCAATTTACAGCCATATGCAGAAGGCTACCTTCCTACAGATAACATCTAACCTATGTATTTCAGCTCCAGGCCCAGAAAAGCAGCAAAACCTGGGGGGGGGGGGGGGGGGGGGGGGGGGGGGGGGGACTTTAGGACTAGTTGTAATGACTAAGGACTCCTCCCCTTGCATTGACCAGTCAGCAGAGACCACAACCCTGAAGGAGCATATCTGGAAAAGTGATGAATATTCTGCTGAAACCCTCCCCTGAGATATCCCCAGATTCCCTGCCTGCAAGAGAAAGATAAAATCTTCACGACAAACGACTTTCTAGGGAGCAACCCATGATATTCCCTTTCCCCACCTATTTTTCCTTCACAAGCATGGTGCTCCTTAACTGTAAGGGTCCCCAGGAGACTTGCAACCAGGGGAGAGCAATGGTCAGCAACAGCTCAGCTGAGGCTAATCCCCTGTCTCTAAGACATCCTTTTCTCTGACTTCCCAGTGAGTTAAGGCAGCCCAGCCTAGACTCTCCTGTTGCTTCTACTATCCTAGGCCCTTGTTTTACTGTCCCCAGGTTAAAAAATAGTCACCTGGACTCACATTGTGAAATTTTTCCTGCATAGTGTCAAGAACCCACACACTACTGGCTGGCCCTAGGCAGACCGTCTCAGGGCCAGGTTCCCTATCCGGTAACATTTGGAAACTATGATGAAACCACTTTGACTACAGGCTAATATAAATAAGAATTAAGTTCCTATAGCATAAACCATTTTCTGGTCACAAAAACCACCAAACTTCTAAATAAAGGCTGAGAGACACTCAATATTAAACATTGAAATAAATATGAGCTATACATACATTTAAGAAACACTAATTTAAAAACGATCATTCTTTTCCAACCCACTTATTTCAGTCAAGGTTGTGAGTGGTAGTCCAACAGCTCAGGGCACAAATTGGGACCTACCCTGGACAGGACATCCTTCTATTGCAGGGAGCGCTCTTACCCATACCCACACTCACTCAGACTTGGCAAAATCTAAACATTATCAGTTCACCTACTCTGCACATCTTTGGGATGTGGGAGGAAACCAATGCAGACAATGGGGTGAGTGTGCAATCCTCACAGAGACCATGACCCTGACCAGGTACAAAATGATA